ACAGATGAAGCCAAATTTCTGACGGCAACACTGGTCTGAATTGAGCTTTGCCTTTGATGACAGCATTCAGAAAAGGAGAGCCAAGTTTCTTTTCACACTTTCAGGGCCAAAAAAGAGAAAGGGCTGAGAAGGGGCTGCTTTGAAACTAAGTTGTGAACTACAAAAACCTGACACATACTGGCATATAAGGATGAATTTTCAAATGGTGACTGCTGTGAAAGCTAAATTTTTTCTAAAAAAAGCTAAAATATTTTAAAATGTTTATATTAAAAATGAAAAGATCAGAGCAGCCAAATACATTTAAGTTAAAATTTTGGGAAATATAGTAGTTTTCTCTTATTATTTAAAAAAAAAAATCAGTAAAACAAAAAAACAGCTGCACACAAGGAAAAACATCAAATGTTATTTTCAAACTGCAATATGAAAGCATCTCCTCAAAAATTCCCAATATAAATAATGGACTTTTATTGTTCATTTACTGCAAGGTTAGGCAGCCTGATATGATGGATGAAACGTCAACCTCCAACTAAACTTCTACAATCCATCATAAAAAGAGTGGAAGTTTCACTCAACGTGTCAATAATCCTAAATGATAAAGTGCAAAATACTTCACAGAGGTGTGATTGTTCTTTTAAAATCTGCATTCACCACAACATTTCAGAAACACTGCTCCTTCCCTGACTCTCCCAGGAAGTCATAAAATGCAGCTGTGAATGTATACGTCAACGATAACACAAGCAGGAGCACAAAACAGAAATGAGATTTTTATAAAGGTCTCATGTTAGGGGAAATTATACTTACAAAATAAGCTACTTTACCCTACTCAAACATCAAAGACGATCAAGATTTTGTAGTGCTTTCTATCTACTTGTCAGCTCTCCAGAAGTGACCAAATAAGAAAGTTAACCAGGGCTACACTAGAGCCTGGTCTGAAATCGCAGTTGACCCTGCCTTGAGCAACAGGTCAGACCGATGACTCCCTGAAGTCTAGGCTTCCTTTACTAAGCACAAATAGGAGATTTTTGCAAGCACTACAAAATATACAGACTTCTTGTTAACAAAAACAAAGAAGCTGATGTGCCTTTACTTAATTTCGTGATAATTAACATTTTATTATGAAGTATTTGTGCCTAACTCACACTAACCAGAATGCTTTAAATTCTAAATATGGCAAAAGCTCAATTTAACTTACTCAGATATTCTTATGCATCCTGAAATACAGGAACAGTGGTGGCACAGCATGAAATACATGCATAACCATCCAAAAACAGGTATTACATTTCTTGACCTGGGTATCTAAGTTTTCAATTTTTATTGCTATTTACATTTACAATTTTGCATTATACCACATGATATTTTTATGCAAAATTTCCATCCATATCAGAAGAAGCCTGCATCTCTTTTCTATATGCATATGCAATAGCAAAATAAAACAATTTTAACAGACTGTCATTATTACAATATATTAAAAATTAGTTACCAATTGTCTCTTTGCATTTGACCTGCATGATGTGCTGTAACCTACAATTGCTAAGCACAAAGCTCCCAGCAGAACCATCACAATACACTCAACTACAAGAATTTCTCTACTACAGATCTCAAAGCTTAATATAAGCTTTTCCCAAATTTTACAAGGATATTCTTAACAGTGGGTAGAAGTGCTTATAGTTAACATTAAACGTAAACGCTTATTACTGCAATCATAAAATCTGAAAAATTAGGCCATCTTGCCTTTAATGTTAGGATGCAGCGTTAGAAACTGCGTCAACTTATTACTTCAGTCTCAAATATCAGCAGACTATCATCTGTACTTCATCCCCTCATACCTTTTTCCTTAATCATACATGTAAGAACACTTTTACAAAGTTAAAACACTCTTCCAAGTTTAACCTTCTTAGAAGTCTAAAGCTGCAATAGAAAGCACAGTATGTAAAGTACACTTTTGTGTTTTAAGAAGAATGGGACTACTGAAGGGCCAGTACACCACAGTGCCTTGTAACCACTACTTCATACCTATGATCCACTCTGAGAAACTAAGAACAAAATTAGAAAGGTTCAAACCTTTGCCAAAGCTTCTACTCTTTCCTGGCTCTGTGCATCCAGGAAACTCCTGGTCACCCTCAGTATATTTTATCTCTTGGAAAAAAAGATGTTCAGTGTTCTCATATCAACAGTTATGCTTTTAGGTCTTGCTCAGAGCAGCCCTCCAAGTTTTCCCCAGTAATCCACAAAGTCAAGCATAATATACAGACATGACAGATGATGCTTCAATGGCCTTTCAAGACCTATTTTTTCCTGGTCTGCTTCCCACTGTCCTACCTGTATGTCTTGTCAATTTAATCATAGGGTTTTTACTTTATTTTTTTAGCAATTGTTTAATCTACCAGTCTATCTGCTTATTTGCCATGGACTTGAATTGACTTAAAATAGAAAGGTCTCTTGAGTAGTTCAGACCAGGAAAAACACATACAAAGTAATTACCAGCCCCACACTGTACCTGGGACTCCATCTCCTCTTTCATGAAAGCTACTGGAATAAAATGCTCCCTGGTATGATAACAATAATATAACTGGTATATAGCCGAGTTTCCAGACACATACTTGATTTCATCTTCATAAGTCCCAAATTAATCTTCTCCTCTTCTTTAATTAAATTTTTAGACATCATCTGAACCTTGTCTTCCATCCCTCCTCTGATTGCCAGAAAGTTGATGGAAGTTGTTTAAAAATCACTCCAATTTGAGCGCTACCAATCACTATTTATTCCACAGATCAACAGAATTTGGGAGATAGCTCATTTCTTTACTGTAATACCACAGTGATGTCAAGTGAGAGAAAAGCTTCACTGTTTTTGAATTGCAAAATTACATTTGTGCTGTGGCTTATTGGTTCTCCAAGGTTTTTACAGGCTTTAAAACAAAGTAATATATTGTGACCATATTTCTATGTTTTCTCAAGTAACTTACAAACTGAGATTGTTTATCCAGATGCCACCTGCTTCCTTGGATGAGTGCTCATAGTTAGAAATAGTAAAAACATACTGTATCTCTAAAAAGGAGACAGATTTGTATAGGCTGGAATGAGAGGCATGATAGTTCCTCCAGTGAGTTTCATTCAAATTTAGGCATCTAAACCACACCATACCACACTCCTTGAAAAAATCAGTTGGAAAAATTCTAGTCTTTAACTTTCATCTTGTTTATAACCATTCCTTGTGAATTAGTTTAGAATTGTTCTTTGCCTAATAGCTCAGGAGTCTGGAGAACAGCTGTCTTGTCTCATCAGGTTTACCCTTAAAGAACTTACAGAATGTCTCCACCTCTCTATGGTCAAATTCTTCTCATTGAAGCTTCCTTGGGGGAAAAAAGTTAACGATAATATCAAAAAATACACATTTCTGCTTTATTGTTGTCTTCCCTGCTCCAAAACAAGCAATCTGTGCATCACAACTAAGCGAAATCAGAAAGGAATCCCAAGATAGGTAGCAGTCTAAACGTTTCTAATTATTCATGTTGAAATAACTCATTTGTTTTAACTTCAAACACATTTATTCTTTACATGTTATTAACTGCGTAATATCTTTATATCAGAAGCTGTCTACAACCTTGCACGAAGTTTGTTACATGAAAATATTTGGATATACTCCTTGATGTATTTCAGTGGTGCCCAGTGACAGAACGCAAGGCAATGGGCACAAACTGAAACACAGAAAGTTCCGTCTGAATATAGTAAAAACCTTTTCACTGCAAGGGTGACTGGGCACTTGAACAGGTTGCACAAAGAGGTTGTAGCATCTCCATCCTTGTGGGTATTCGAAAACTGTCCAGACAAAGTCCTGGGCAGCCTGCTCTAGGTGATCCTCCTTGAACAGGGGAGCTGGAATAAATGATCTCCAAACGTCCCTTCCAACCTCAATCACTCAGTGATTTATGCTTCAGCAATGGAAAAACAAAATATTCAACATAAACTGCATGGGCATTTGCAGAAAGAAATAGAGGACATTTTTCCACTCATCCAAAATCAGTGTTTCTCTCTAGTTTCTCATTACTAACAGATATGGAACAACCAAGAAAAAAAAAGCATCAAAATGAACGTGCATTTATGTAAATTCAAACTGAACAATGCAAGCACAACTTTAAAGAAACATTTGAGAGATACCCCAGTACTGTTATTTCTAAAATTCAAACTGAAGAGGGTTTTTTGTTTATTTGTTTTCATCTTGCCCAGTGTTTGCTAGACAAATAATATTCAATTGAGTAAGATCACAGACCCAGATTTACTGGAGATTCTTCACTTAATTTTATGCAGCATAGTCTGTAATATCAAGACGAATAAGCTTGTGCTTGCTGTAACCAGAACCCCTCTCCAAACAAGCTCCACAGCCTTTCTAGAACTAGTGTTCTTTTGAACACAAGCTATATATTAACTTATATACAGTAAACACAGTTAAAAATACCTGGCTATCTACTAGCAGTTTGAGAGATTCATATTCAAAAGGTATATTTGTTCCGGCCCCTTCGGTCTCAATTTCTCAAACGGTGAAGTTCATGACCTTTAACTACAGTGTTTGTCACTTAAGCTACTGTATGTTTTAATATATGACCTATCCTATATCTTTCCCTCGAGTCTCTAATTTGTAACTTTTTTTTTACTTATCTCAGAAAAGCTATTCCGAGAATTGTAACTATTCCTATCATTTCTAAGTGTGACAGTAATAAAACATGTCTGAACAGAAAACTATTTCAGAAAATGGACTAGAGAAGAAAAAACAAGAAAAAAAATACCAGTGGTAAGACCTTTTCCCTTTCCCATCTACCGGTATTATATCATAATACTATTACTGGAGGTTTACAATCATTTGTCTTTACAAAAAATGGCTCACTTTACACCTCTGTAAAGCAGAAATGAACATTTCAAGGCAAAGGATTGATGATAAATTAAGCTTAATTAACACACTGTCTGTCACTGACCATATATATAAAAAAAAAAAAACTGTCTTACCGTACACCTTGTGCTGGTCGTAATTCGTAGAGTGAATTCCTCAGAGAATTCTAAATCTGGAATGGATGCAGCATTACAGTTGATACGCTATTGAAAGGAATAATAAAATTCTGTCAATAAAACTGCTAAATGAAAATTAAGATGTCTCATTGGATGAGCCTCATAGATTGTTCAGATGATCCCACAAAAATACAGCTTTTCTACGGCAGTACTAATTCAGCTCTTCAAAAACAGGGAGAAGAGACTTAAGTATGATCCAGTCATATCTGCACACTGACCAAACAGCTAAAACCTCTCCTCCCCAAAGGTTAAAAGAAACAGACACTTTGACTAATAGTGGATTTGAACTAGATATGGTAGCTCAAACTCTTCAAGATAGTTGCTCACTTTGGTAACTTGATGACAGTTGTACAAAGTCAATATTGAAGTAACTTTAATGAGCACTCATATAGGTATCTTCAGTAAAAACTAGTTTATATGGCCATAGTTTCTCAAGTTGCCACTGTTGTGGAAGCAGTCTTGGCATTCTTTGAGATACCTTGCCACCCCACACCTTTTTACCTTCCCCTGTCCTATTCCTTGCTCTTGCAGCCATATGGTGAACTACAGTCATAAACTGATGTGGGTTAAAACTGTCCTTTTTTGACTTGCCAGTTAGCTTTTTATTGGTCACAATCACAGAACAGTTGAGGTTGAAAGGGTTCTCTGAAGATCATGTAGTCCTATACGCTACCCAAAGTGGGGTCAACTAGAGCAGGTTGCTCAGGACCTCTCCACTCAGGTCTTAAACAGCGCCAAGGATGGAGACTCTACAACCCCATGTTTAAACAGAATTTCCTGAATTTCCACTTGTGCCCAGTTCCTCTTGCCCTATCACTGGGCACCACTGAGAAGACTCTGTCTTCTTTACACCCTCCAATCAGTTACTTACACATACTGGTAAGATTTCCCCTGCCGAGCCTTCTCTTCTCTAGGCTAAACTCTCCCAGCTCTCTCAGCCTCTTCTCGTATGACAGATGATCCAATCCCTTATTCATCTCCGCGGCCCTTTCTCTGGACTTCGCTCTACTATGTCCATGTCTCTCTTGCACTGGAGAGCCCAGAACTCGACCCAGCACTCCAGCTGTGGTCTCACCTGTGCTGAGTACATGGGAATCACCCTCCTTACACCTGCTGGCGATACTCTTCCTAACGCAGCCCAGGAGGCCGTTGGCCTTCTTTGCCACAATAGCACATTGCTGGCTCATGTCCACCAAAACCCCCAGGTCCTTTTCTGCAGAGCTGCTTTCCAGGTGGTCAGTCCCCATCCTGTACTGGGGCATGGGATTATTCCTCCCCAGGTACAGGACTCTGCATTTCCCTTTGATGAACTGCACAAGTTTCCTGTCTACCTGTTCTTCCAGCTTGTCAAGGTCCCTCTGAATGGCAGACACAGGCTTGTGGTGTATTAGTACATGAAGTACAAGTGCAACATAAGAGTGGGGAAAAAGCAGAGGTGGCAGAGGGCTGCTTCTCTGGCAACCACTGATTTGAAATGATCACAAAGATATGGCATCCAAGGCTGAAGTGAACACTGATAAATACTGATAGACGAAATGACCACCCACATTTCAACATTCTTATATTTCATATATATTGCCATTTTTCAAAGGTGAAGAACATTGTATTTCGTAATTGTTCAGAAAACACTTCACCATACTTTTTTTACATTAATTTTGCTAGTCTGTACTGTAATTCCAGCAAACAAGCTCATGCATTGGCTTTAGGTTTTTTTTAAGAACATGTTTTTACTGAAAACGAGTGGATATAAAACCATCAAGCGTAACAGCTATGTGAACTGCTCCATGATAACAAAATTTGCTGAAGACATATGCTAGGCAGTGTCTGCTCACAACAGTATATACTTAAAAAGAGGCATAAAGCATTAATTGATAAGTACGTATTTTACTATTACCAGTACCTTTTGCTCCTAAAATGACAATAGTTTATAGACTGCATTGGTAACAATAGCTATGATTAAATTTGCTCAGCATCTTCCAGTTTGAAGATGTTGTTTTCACGTGTTTATAAGTTTGCCTAGCATATTGATATAGCTCAACTCTTCCATGCAGCTGCTAATTTAGAGCCTACTATGTTCTTCATTGTCTCTATACCAAACTCAACTTATTCATAAGGAGTATTCAACTGGAATCAGATCATGCAAAAATGGCATACGCAGGTGAAAAAAGTGCTTATGCCTCACCAATTACACAACCAAACCTGTAGGACACCTGACAATTACAGCCTCAGTTTTTTGATCCCAGCACCTCTGTTTTTGGTGGTGTAAGTTTACCACTGTAAACTTACAAGATATAGTCCAGATTAATACACTAAGGGAGGAATTTGTCTTACCTATAAGTCTACAAAGTACATTTCAACATCTGAGTTGATCACTCTACCCTCTCCTCTTCTCAGAGGAGCAGATAGCCATAGGGCTCAAGTCACATAACCTATATTAGGTGTCCTTAAGACCTAATATTTCAAGTCCCATAACATGTATTTCATTCCACTGACTATAAAGGAAGTCTTGTTCAGAGACTAAAGCTAGTTCAGATGATAAAAATGTAAGACACTATTAATGACAGATACCCATAAAAGTTCAGAGAAAAATTCTTTATACAGATGCACAGTTTACACAATGTGCAGGAAGCGATACTAGAAGCCAGCAAAATCTAGAGCCTGAAAAATGCTGATATTTTTGCTGAATTTTCCTGAAAAAAATTAATTTAGGATTTTTCATTATTTATGAATTTTAAAATCCTGAAGGAAAAAAAAAAAGAAAGCAGCGATGCACAAGACTACCACATTAGTTATCCAAGTTAAAGAAGAATCAGTGTCAGCACTTCTTACATTTGAATGCTTGACTTCCAACTTAATCATTACTCTTTCCTGTAATACAATTATATATAGGAAAAGCTTAAACAGTAACTTGCATCAGGACTGATTGATTTAAGACAAAACGGTACTTCATCTGTTACTGCTTCTGTGGGCACAACACAGCAAGCAGTCTCTGTGCTGGAAGAGACTGGAACTACCCTTAGAATGGGGTCAAGTTCAGTAATGAACTCAGTAAACCCATTTTCTTCTACATGGAAATAGGACAGGAATGCATCTAATTAGAAACTACATCTTGACTAAACAGGCAGTGATTCTCATTGAAGGGCAGCAATTTTACTGCCTTAATGCAGAGAAGTAACTATATGAACAACAGCTAAAATGCCATTGCGGCATAACACCTCTGAGCCAAAACTAAGCCACAGGATCTTGGCTACTGTGCTGCTGCTTATACTATCAACTCTTACATACTTCTTTAAGAATTTGGCAGATACCAGTAAATTCTTTCTGAGTAGACTGACTCCTAAAGGACAACTCATGTAATTATCACCATCATTTTCCAGGCATATTGTTTTAACTAGTACAACAGATTTTATAGACTACAACAATTTGTATTTGACAGAAAGCACAAACAAACTGGAAAAACTTGGGGAACACACAGTGTGGACAAAATTATGTTACAGAAACTAAAGGACAAGTTTATATCACTTCAAGAGTTCAAATATTTGACCACAACTTTGAAGGTAAGTAAATATGAACATTTTCCTGACTTCTAGCCTAAGAATTGTGCTGTACCATAATTTCTCCCCTGTACTTCTATCCGGGGTTGAAGAAAAACAAAGGAGAAGGGGATCAAGAAAGTATGCAGATAATCAAAAGATGAGGTCATTTTTACCTTCTTCCAAGCAAGAAAACAAAAAACTTGTCTCACAATAGTGCTTCTCTCAATGTGGTCTGAATTGTTCCTACTATTACTAACCAGAAGGTTATTTGGACTTTCAAACCAGTCAGTGTTCCGGATTTGATTTGCATCACTTACATGCTCTCGCAAATGAATCAGTATACAATGAGAAACACTGGTCACAGGGAAAACTTTGCTGCTTTTCCCTAATATGAATTGCTATGAAAAACAACACAGAACAGTAAGCATAACAATACACTCAATGATTACTGCAGAAACTACTGTTGTTATTTCAGACACAGGAGTCATTCTGTTCGATGAAGCTATGAGAAAGAAGTGCGTGATCCTTCAATGAAAGATCTTTAAAGCCAGATAACTTTACACAGAAATAGATGAGCCTTAGTGTAACTCAGTACTCTGGCTCAGGTGAAGAGGGAAGAAAAGAAAGACAGACTGTATACTCCAGAGTTTTTCTGTAATAGTTTCAATTTCAATTATGCAACTTTCCAGTTACTAAAACAGGCAAATTTAGCTTTGGATAGAAGAAAATCTAGAATAGACATGTTAGAAAAAAGTCTGAAAATGGATGACTACTTTATTAGGAGCTAAATCTTAGTAAAAAAAGCAACAAATATAAGTCTTAAAGTGCTAACACTAAGAAACTTATTGCATTTGTTTCAGTTAGAAGATGCCTAAGTTAAATACATTTTCTCTACATTAAATAACCATGTATTTTAGAAAATGAATGGAAAAATAATAAAATGAAACTTTTTAATCTTAGGAGTAAAAATTAAAGAAGCATGGTACCTTAATGACACTGGCTGCAGATATAACTGTGTTTGGATCCAGCACCTCCACAACAGCTTCTGGAATTACCGCCTTTTTCATGCAAGACATATCAAAGCCATACACATCTTCCCAGAAAACTAGCTTATCCACATGTTTATTCATATCCCCCACAGCGACTAGACTAATGGTGCATGTGTCAGGATAAACTGTAACAACAAGAAATAGATTAGTGAAATTTTGTAAATTTTGTTTTGGACATGCATAAAGATTTTTTTTTAAACTGTTTAGTATCTTAAAAGAACAAATAAAAGAATTAATTTCTGTTCTGGTTAAAGACAACGACTTTATTTTCTAGAGTTCCCCTCCTCCACAAAAGAGATTAGACACTGGAACTTAATTTCCCCACACTACTCTGGTTAACAGCATTACTGTTCACGAGGAGGTATCTCTATAGTTGAATCCCACTGCCAGGGTCATGACCAAAAACTTGCTGACAAAAATGATTTCAAACATCCTATTCTCGCTTCTATACAAGAGATAGCCCTGAAATTTATTTAATAGCTGCTTGTCAGACACCCCAAGGAGAATTCAGGTGAGGGTTCTGTAATAACAAGAAATCTTTATGAAAAGACCTTATTCCAGAAAAGGTAAGTATTCTTAGTCAAGTGTTTTGTTCGTGATTCTCATCAGCTCTGGCTGACACATACCTTATAACCTAAAAATAATTTCTGGCTACTGGAAAAGATGTCACACGCTCTTCTCCTGTGAGCATACAAACACTATGGAAGTGACCCAACAGCCAGAAGAGAACTTCCTCATGCGTTCTTCCCCACAGTTTTAGGGTGACAGATACCCTGTCTTTATGCTTGTGGTCTCCCTTCTCCAAACAGTATCTTCAGAAAGATATCTATTTACAGCTTGCTCAAACAGTAACGGGAAGACTGATATTTGCCTGCTTAACAGCTGCCTTACAAAGTTAGTTAACCTCTCGGCAATCTCTCCACTGCTGATTGGAAAAGTCACAAAGAAGAGCAGCTATGAATATGGCTGTCTACAGGCATGTAAAACAGCACGGTAGCTTACGCATTTCAATAGTAAGAAAAACTTACTTTAAGGCTTACGTTTAGCTAGGTTTCTTCCTGCAAAGGAATTTGCGCTTTTCATTTTTAGAGTTTCCAAGCTCTTAAAGCCACACACATTGAATGCTTTATCTAGCTTCAGAGCAGGATGCTTGCTACTAAGCACCTTTTTTTAATTGATACACGAATGTGGCAGTGTTAACAAAACTGAAGCGAAGTTTCTGTTTTCCTTTCAAAAACCTGGTGAACTGTAAAATTGATTTTGTCTTCAGCGCTACTTGAAGTTGTAGCTTAATAAAATGAGTATGAAGAAATCATTGGTATACCATGGTAACTCAGAAAGGTAATGTTTTTTGCCTTGTAAAATACTGAAGATAGAACTAGTAAATTGCAATTGTACCCTTTACACAGTGAGAGTATGTTTAGCCTAAAGAAATAATTTTATGATCTTAATAAAATGGAGTTTTCACTACAGAAGCTTTTTCTTTCATATAAGAGATTAATTTAAAGCAAGCATCAACCTCTACCTGTGGAATGGAAAGTCAAAGTAGCTATGATATGACTGACAACACAAAATACTAGCACACTGTCACTTTTCTCACATTCTGACTGTTTAAAACAGAGTAATAAAAAATACTGGTAAGCTTAAATTAAAATTCCCATGGTAAGCTATCATCCCCACATTGTAGATGAGAAACTCAAAGCAGCAGGCTTTTCCAGGAACAGTCTACAATTAACTCAACAGTAAAAAGGCAATTTGATGAGACTCAAAACAGGAAGGCATCCAAACTGTCCTGTTTGAAATCATTTGGTTCCAGCACACCTGACAGCTGTCAACCAACAACCATCACCCACATCCACCACCCACAAGTGAAATCAACGTCTGGTGATATTAGTATTTGCAAGCAGTTTCTGGAGCCATCAGTAAGGGACTTAAGTTTCTCAACGTTCTCATGTTGCTCTCTACTAGTTTGACAGCTGCACTACATTAGGTTTTACCTTCCAGCACGTCAAACCTTCAAGAGCCAGCACTGACTCTCCAAAAACTAAAAGGCAGCATGAAATAGGCAACAATAGCAAATGACTACATCTTTCAAAAGAATATTTTTCATGGAAATGCTCTTGCTAGCAAAGGGTGTGGGGAGAACATAGAAGAGGAGTGAAAAAAAGATCTAAGTGCCCCTAGTTATAGAATTCACAGGAACATGCTGGCAAGCTACTGGTGATGAAACTGCAAAAGGAAATGGAAAAAACAGTAAAAAGTGAAATACTATTTTATAACATTCCTTCCTTGGACTAGCCCACATTTCTGGGACATTCTGTTAACAGAAAGAAGTTTATATGTCTCTCAGGCATGAAACACTAGACCTTTGAGCAAGACTATAATCAGTTTTTATTACATCTCTTTGTCTAAATGCCAAATTCTTTAATTGGCAGTGGAACTTATGATTGATTATATGAAGCACTTAAGAACAAGTAAAATATAAGCGCTAGTTCCCAAATTTAATCTTCATTTTTCTGTTTAGCCTATCGAAAACAGTAGCCAAAAAAAACCAAAACCAGAAAAGGCCTGTTCTGACTTCAGAAACAAATCAGATTTCCACAACCAGGACACAGGCAAAAGACGATAGCAATATATCAACTTCCCAATTTACAAACCCAACCGTGTCTAGAAACATACACTATATTGATGTCTGACTAGAAACATAAGCGTGTTGATCTAAATATCAGCCTAAACCATCTAAATACAAAAGTGTTTTGTAAATATATTTTTAAAAGTACTTAACATTGCATTTTTCATTTCACCCGTTATCCTTGATTCTCCAAAACCAAAACCCTCTGCTCTTTCCATACCACTGTGACACTTTCCAGTGCAGTCCTGACAGACTTGCTTTATTTTTGTCTGATTAAAGCTGTAACTAAATAATTATTCCTTCTCACAGGTTAAATTAACAAAATGCTGATCGGACAAAAGCACATACCCAGCAACGCTTTCACAGATTCATAGTTTTGACATCTGTGTCCTTCTCGAGTCAGTGCCCAGAAATCATCTGTCACTAGTAACAGCTCACGTGGTAAACAGAAGAAGATGGGAAATCCGTTACCCCTTAGTAATGCCTCACAAACTTCAGGACATCAAAGGGTAAGACAACAATCCTCTGGATACGTAGAAATAATTCCAATACCGTCATCGTTTTGACTTTAACAAGCAAATACAGTTACATTTTGAGCGATGCCTCCCTTACCAATGTGCACTGCACTCAAGTGTACGGAAAAACACACACTCAACCAAGTAATAGTTCTAAAGAATGAATCAGATGGGTCCTGGGCAGCCAAAATTTTATGTTCCCAAATAGAACTATTATATACTGTGCACATTACACTATGCAGTTTCGCATCATCCACTTCAGTATGCCAACAGACTAAGTCAAAGTAGCTATGATATGACTGACTGAACACAAATCTGGATATTTGGATTCTATTCCCAGCTCAATTACTGAAAGGTTTGGGCAAGTTATGGCTGCTTCTACGCTTTTCTCAGCTTTCAAACAGTCCCTGGTACGAAATAGTACAGAGTAGCTTGTGACAAAATTAATCTTTATAGCAGATTCAGGAGTTTCTCTGTTAAGTGAGACTTCACTTCAGAATGAACTTTTAGTTTTGACTCAGCAGGATTCAGACATGCCCACAATTCTACTGCTATTCATATATATACACACTTAAAAGTACCTGTCTCGCTAAACTTAGACTGATCCCTGAACAGCTTCAGCAAGAATCTCATGGACAGCCATTCACCTGCTATACAAACTGGACCAAGAGTAGTAATTGCAAGCATCTTAGCGAAACAGTGACTGTGTAATACAGCACGCTTTATGGAAGGGGGGAGGGGGCACAAAAAAAAGAAAGAAAAAAGAAAAAAGAAAAAATGCCTGAGGCGATCACAAACGGTTAAGCGTATCGCTGAGCCAGCACATCGTTTTCTCACAGAGAAAACAAGGGCAGCTCAAGCCACTAGCAAACTTACAACAGTACCAACAGATGCCAGAAAAACATGATATAGCTATGGTTGCAATTTCAATAGAGGTTAAAAAAAATTCGGCCCTTTTTAGAAGTCTTACAAGAAGTAGCTAAACATAGAACAACTCCTTATGATCTTACAGAATGGCCCTTCAATAATTATACTGGGATGTACAATTATTAACATATACCTATACAGAGCACACCACAGCTGGATTCTAGATCTGACTAGATTATTCCAACTACTGAAAACAAAAAACCTCCTATTCTATCATGTTGCTCAAGTGCTTTTCTAACTATTTTAACACAAGAACAGTAGACTCTTGCATGCATATTTAGCTTTATAGCCAAATGTTGAACAATACCATAAAAAGGCCTTTTTTCTGCTGCACTCTGTAGCTTACAAAGCTCACTGCAATCAGGGAGAAGCACTGCAGCGAGCACTGTTACACAGTCATTAATCCAATCATTAAGTCAGCGTAGTGAAACTAACTATGTGCATGGTTAGCACAAAAGAGGAAAAAAAACAGACTGATGACTACAACTGAAAAGGTCAATATGAAATACAATACTGACAGAGGAATTAAGTGAAAGGAAAGCATATGCAGAACTAGTGCAGAAAAGAGCATCACATGAGTAATAAATATTTATAGGCATTGATACACTGCTTAAGATGAAGCTATCTAAGCTACTTGAAGGATAAAACAAATTACTTCAAAGTAAAACCTTGTTCTTCTGTCACTTCCCTACCCTGCAACCACAAAGAGAAAGCATATATTCCTATGGGGACAGAACAAACATGCTGAACGATAGCAACGCAATTCCCTTAGTTATTGCATGTGGCTTCCCAGGTTTGAAAAAGCACGTCCTCCACACACACCTTCCCTTCTAGTGCAAAGCACCCTAGCCATTTTTCCTCTAATTCATCTCTTTTTACAGTAACTTACTCAAACAGTATCAGAGATTGAATGAATAAAATGTTTTCCTCTCTGTTGATAGTTTTTCCTTCCTCTTTACCTTTTTTGTCTGATTTACATATTGCTTATCCTAACCCAATGTTTTAGAACGTACAGCATTTCTAGAAAAAAGCTAGGCACAAATACTGATGTTAACTAAGCCAAAGAAATTGTGTCTAATATTCATGCATTGGTTTTCACTGTTCAGTATTTGAAAGAAAAACAAACAAAAAAAACCTGACAAAAAAGTAATGCTTTATACCATATTCCTTATATAGTACAGATAAAACATGTTGAGACAGACTGAATGAAAGCATTTGAACAAACACAACCATACTCGCATCTCTTAAGAATCAGAATGAAAAGAACTGTTGTCTATACCCAAGTTGAATTAATTCCTTAGACATATCTTCTACAATGCAAGCAACTTTACGAGAAGTTATTTGCCAGCAATAACCACAGAGTTCAAAATATTTTCCTATCAGTCCTAAAAAGATATAAAAATAAAAAATAATAAAAAACCCACAACCATGTTTTCCTCTATCTAAAGGTAAAATCCTCCCCTATATCTTGAACAATACCCATTTCCATCACTCACCAGCCAGAGAATACAAAAGACTTACCAAAATTTAAAAAATGTTAATACTTTGGAATTTGAAAGAAAGACTAGAATTCATAGTTCAGGATTTTAAGTGAAATGATCTAGAATGAGGATGAAATGCAGAAAGGATACTACTCCACTTACTGTTTTTAAAGTAAATTTTGGGGGAGGGGGAAGTGGAGGAAACATTTAATGTTGGTGACCATCAGCAATGAAACATTAAACTAGTACAACCCACAGATCTGAATCCATTTTGGAATGTACATAGTTTCATTTAAGCTTCTTCTGCAACATTCAAACTCCCCATATCCCACTAATTTTAACTCAGTCAACACAGTCCAAGATCACAACAACTACGTCAGTCCTTCAACTGAAACCTTCCTTCAGTTTACCTTTTGCATCAGATCTTCTGAGTGTGTTCTACATAACTTAGCAAGCTGGACTGCATCTTCAGCCAAATCTCTCCCCTCTGAACTTTTATCCCAAGAATTTACAAGAGCTCTGGTGGGAAAAATAGCAGTTTCCTATTCCCAACTTAAATGCCACTAACTACAGGAATATTTATACAACTATCATCTTACTGTACTAGGCTCCTGACTCCTACTGGTCAAGCAAGGCTTACCATCATTTCCCAGTTCTCAAGCCAAAAGAAAATCCAGAACGAAGACAGGCATCTTAGCACCAGTCAACGGAGGAAAAAAGATGACAAACACTTCCGTAATTTTTTCAGCCTTAAGCCACATAAAATTTGGACCAAAGATGACTGGAATATGCACTTGGATGACACTTCCAAAGTGCAAGCATGAAATGTTGCACAATTAGCTACAAATGCGTGTTTCACCAAGCACATACAGGGTTTTTGCTAGCTAATACTGAGCTAATACTGAGGTTAGCTTCCCGAGGTTGCACTAGTCTGCCAAAGCATCCTAGAGAGCTGGGAAGGCAAGAAAATGCACAGAAGTGTAAACAATTACTAAGTTATAGCACTCTATTGGGATAAGAGCCTGCCCGAGGAAAACAAGGAACCCGATACTGACAGTGGTGAACGTGCACTGAGGTGGCACGCAACAAACTACGATAGACAGCTCAGTTCCTATCACTCCCAGTTCATTTTTTTTGACTGAAGAGGTTAAATTGATATATATACGTAATTTGTGTGGGCGGCTAGTTTTTTGAATTTTTAAAAATCTGCATTAAAATATGATTTCAAGCATTAGAATAAAAGCTAAAGAGACAGGGATTTGGGGGCGGAGGGGAATGCCAGCTTTTCTGAACGCTGCTGTTTAGCTTCACAGATTTTGAAAGGTTTAAAAACCAACACCATTGGTTAAAAGAATCTTAGAAACCCTTAACTGTCCAGGTAAGCAAGATGCATTCTCTTCCAACCCTAGAAGAGGATCTAAGAAGAATATATGCAGCATTCCAAATTTAATGAGCTGAAAACTAAGTAATACTACTTTGTGTTAACATCCTAACTCCTGTTATTAAGGAAATGTTGAAAAACAGAAATTTATTCTTAAAAGTGGAGTTTCTCCATCTGTTGTTGAAGATTTTTCTTTGGGGGGGGGAACTGTGGGAAGAAGTAGGGAACAAAAATTTAGATTGCAGTTTAAAATACGTAAAAAACCCTTTATTCTTAAAAATACCATCAACTCGAGACCTGGATACCCCATCTAATGCTCTTCTATTACTCATACAGTAAATTAATGCCTTGAAGCTCCCACTAATGGAAACATTTTTCATTTAGACTGGCAACTTTCTCATCCATGCATAGCTTATTCTAAGCCTCCGAGTCACCTGGTTTTCCCCCAGAGCTAAATTTATTAAAAAGAATTATGCACACCAACCTGAGCCTCCCTCTGCCAGGTACTTGTCCTTTGCATAAATGACCGAATCCAGCATAGATTCAAAGAGAAGGAAATAACCCTTTTAGACATCATTACAATTTTTTATCCATGCAGCATATCTAATGAATCTACAGGTAAACTTTATCAATAACTTTTTGTCTGAAAAGCTTTACGCAATTAAATATAAGAGAGTTTAAGAAGTTATTTGCCCATACATCTTAATAAGAGCCAGCACCTATTGAATTTTTCAACACTAAAAAACCCGGGTATTTTTACTATAAAACTTTAGTTACATAAAGTATCGTCTTTAATTTCCCAAATTGCGAATATCTTAATACCTCTTCAATTAAACTGCAGGTAATAAATACCTATCTATACTAAAAATTATCTGATACAGTCCTAGAACATTAAATCAGAATAAATTAAATATCTATATAGGTAATTTTATTAAATTTGCATTTGCTTATAAGAAAAGGAAATTATGAAAAAGCACGCTGTGAGAAGTTCAGAAAAACTGAACAAGCAACGTGAGTTAGAAATCAAATGTACCTCAAACTCCAAGTGATAAACTATATGTATTGACTTTATAGGATCAATTTTTAGCTGCCATAAAAGAAAAGGTCAAGAAAATTTCTTCCCACTTAGAACTGCAAGTAATATTAAAGTTATTGTCAGAGAAACATCAGAAGGAATGCATTTTTGCTGCTACACACTTGCAACTTAGTAGTGCCCTGTGTTGGCTTAGATACTGCTCACAAAGACAAGTGGAAATAAATCATATCTCAAAGACGGAGGTTCTCTAGACCTTCTACATCATTTAGCAACATCTGAGTTTAAAATATTCTCGGCACAAAAATGGTTAGAGTTAAATTTGCTTAGTTTTTGCGGTAAATGTTGAGATTAATTTTATATAAGGCTAATCACACAGCTATAATTGTTTAGAATAACATATTATATGCTTTTAAAAATTGAGTCAGCCATTTGCTAAAACACAGAGCCAACACATATAGCAGCATTACGTCCAATTATTTTTTATTTTACATCCAGTTTCTCCACTGTTTTTAAGTAAACCACAAATTTTTAAGAGGTATATAGTCATTTATTTACGCATTGATTTAGTTTTATTTAACATCCTTCGTATTTTGCAAGTTTGAATGACTGTTATCCTTACCAAATCCTGTACCATATTTAATCCACATACATGTTCTCAAGATATAAAATCAATGGAAATTAATCATACTAGCATATATTTTGTACTTTCACTTGATGGCCTAATGCTCATTTTTTCTAAAACAGAGTTTAGCCTCATAGTCTGATTTATACGCGGGATGGAGTTGGAAAGAACATATAAAACACGGAAACACCAGAAAACCCAGACTTTGGACTTGCAGTTCTACAACCGCAGTCAGCAGTGACCAAGCAAAGCAAAGCTCTGATGATTTTTTTTCTTCATCTTTCCTACACTTCCATATTTGTACAACCATAGGATTATTTTTTGAAATCATCATGTCAAACTAGCATAGATAACAAGCATTGCCTGGGAATTTCATTGCTAAAGGTATAAAGTTTATTTCAAGTTTATGACATCTTGGATGTTTTATTTTGTCTTTGGCTCCCAGAACAAAAAATGTTGCACATTCAGAGTTGCTTAGAAACGTCACCCTCCGCATTGCAGCCTTCAGAATTAACACAGAGGAAAAACAGAAACCCAAAAACTTGAAGCATGTCTTACTAGCATTCAACAAGGACTGTGTTCTTAGAACAAGTCCCAGAATGAACCTTACTGCTTTGTGAGCAATGTTTTTTGTAAGCTTTGCAAAATGGTTAAAAAGGCCAGGAAAGCCTATTGCATTGGGCAGAGATTATTCTATGGCCTACAGCAAGCCAAAAGCACACAAGAGAACCAGAGTTTTTGTTTTTATTTTTATTCTTGCAGTTTTAATACTAGATTATGCTTCGTCCACAGAAAATCTTTTCAGATGCTTTTAACAGAAAAATGAGGGACTTTCCATGGTCTTTTGAATGTGACCTCCAGGACATACCCTAAGATCAGTTAGCATCTTTTGGCTGAGGCTTATACTGCTGATACGACTAAGAAAATATATATATACACACACATATACACACAGACAGATACACACATACAAAAAATTCTTAGCGGTATATATACAGCATGTATATATAGCATGTGCATACATGTGTGTATATACAGTAATTATATATAAATATACACACACATGCAGTATTATATATATTATGTAGTTCATATAGCTAAGAAATTTGAACTCATGCCCTAACACTTGCTATGGAATTACTAAAACAGATTGTGGCAGTGCATAACTACATAAACATCATTTTCCCTTTAAGAGATTTTTAAAATATATTAGCAGACACGTTACAAAGTGCCATCTTTATGGACTTTTTTTTTTTTTTAACTTGGTTTTTTCCTGTCTAAAATGCCAGTCATCTACAATGTTTGTCAATCAAGCCTAAGAAGTACAGCTGAAAGACAAACCTCCTAACCAGAAATACAGTTAAATTCTCACTGCCCTTTCCCTGCCCTTTTCCTTTTGGCACTTTTGTTATTTTTCCCCCCCTCATTCCTACATTTCCCCCAGTGCAATATAACATTCCTGTAAGTTATATAAACTGTCGTTGGTACTGAATCAAGTCATTTATTACCTATACCAAAACGTTTTGCTCCGTGTGCTGTGCTCATCTGCAGCATAATTTAGAATGTAATTTCACAGGCTGCTGCCTCACCTGTAGGGGTGCCATCTGGACAGAGAATTACACCTGACATTTTTTCCCCATGACGCTACGGGGCACTCTTACTTCCCCACTGACAACGTCCAGGGTTTTGTTTTTCTTAAATGGGTATTAGCACCTTCAAAATTAATTACTGCAAAGAGACGCCTACGACACAAATCTGTGAGCAGAATATTAATAACTCTTGCTAGTGGCTAAACTAAGATGTATAAAAGAGAGCAGGTTCTCTGTTAAAGACAAACTCAATACATGGCACACCTTAAATACTAGGCTGTCACAGGATGCAGTTTCTACTAAAAAGCTGACTGCTTCTCCTTACAAAATGAACAAAAAGTTCCTTATTTTTATATTTTCAACACTTAAGGGATGTGAATGTTCTCCAGCTGTCAAAAAGCAATATAAACAGACCCAAACAGTAACAGGAATGCACAGAAGTCAGACTTACTCCTTTAAAGCATATGTCCTATGCTAGATCTATCCAAAGAATCAGCTATCAAAAACGTCCACGAGTCTAACGACAAGTCTGTGTTCCAAGCAACAGGAACACCCTTCTGTATCCCTTACTTTTGTATTTCGTGCTTTTTAACAGAACTGTAACAGCCTCACAAAACTTCTCTGGCATGATACCATGCATTGTTATTTTCCCCTCTCTTACTCAAATAAACTACACCACTCCAAGGTAGTTACTTTCATTTTAATTGAAAAACTAGGAAAAAATATTTTACAAATAGAGCAAAACCTACATACAGGAAGTTCTTCTAACACGAGCACTTCAGCATTCAGCATAATATTCTTCATGGAGAAAAAGCGATTAACCTCTTTTTAGGCCACAAGACATAAGAACAGCATGTAATTCAAAAGAAGGGTATCCGTGTGTGCAAATGGCTGAAGAAAAACGCTTCTCTTAAAAACAGATGATTTTACACTGAATATACCTCTTCATTTATGCTTAACTGTTTATATCAAATAACTGACTGAAACCTGGTTTCACCTTTATTTATTAGCTACTTATGAGTGAAATCCATGCATATTAAAAATCCTTTTAAAAGAGAGGCATGAGCATGGTCACAATCGCAGGAATTGGTAGAATTTTTAGTGTGTAAGGACAGAAATGAGAAGCAATATTTAACTACTTGAATAGGCATATTTTATTCTATCAGATATTAGTTTTATTGTTTTTTTGCAACATAACTGGATCTGGTCTGGTACCCCAGATTCAGTAAGGTCCCATACTGAATATTTAATGAGACGTAAGGCAGCTATCAAACAACTGGCCCATAGTGTGGACTTTAGAAAAACAAACAAAACCAAAAAAACCCCCAAAACATATCCTATCAGTGTAAAGATTGTGTTAGTGCCTTAAATGAAGTTTCTAACTACAACGTCTCCACTGGACTGCAGAGTGGAACAAGTCACTGAGGGTAAAAGAGACTGGACAGATTCTAATTTAGAATACAAAATGCAATCTTGCGTTAACAGACACACAAAACTGATGGGGCCCATCCAGTTTTGTGAGACATAAACTTTACAAAAAAAAGAAAAGATGTCCAAATTCATGGCACTTCTAAATGAGAAGCAGCAGCTACATATGAACACTTCTGCATGATCTGCTACATCCCCATTTCTTTCATACTTAGTAAGCCTTCCTGCTGCTCAGAGTTAGTGTTTCACGTATGATTTAATTCAAAAAAATATACCAGGGAAACAATTCACTACTGTCAGAGAGCAAGCACACACATTTCAAATCCACAGCTCGACTTTATTATTATGCATACCCTGTTGCGTCCTAAACAAACGTGAGATGAGTGAGAACACCAAAAGGGAAGATCTGAACAACAGAAAAGTGACATGCGTTATTGAATGAGGACAAAAATAAAAGTACTCTCATGCAAGAAAAGATATTCCCTCATTTTCCTGTAAAGGAAGTAACGTATTCAGCTACTTAAGTATTCTCTCTACACAGCATTAAAAAAAAAAAAGCACAAAAACTTCTATTTTTACGTAAAATATAATTTATTGTGTTATAGAAATCAAATATTTGCATCTCCAAATATTAACGGAATTGCTATAGAAGGTCAAGACTGAAGAAAAAATAGTAAATAAGTGTTAAAAAGCATCATTGCATTATATTCATCATAGAAATGGAGGAAAAAAAGGAAGGAGGGACGACTGTTTTCATTATTTCATATATATTTATTTCCTTCCAACCCATCAAGCTATCACTTCAAAGTTATCTAATTAAAAAAAAAAAAGAGAGAGAGAAAGAGAGAGAATTTTTCAAGCAAACTCAACTTTTAGTTTTATATTCTTATCTACAGAAAATAAAAGCATACCAGGAGATGAAAAACTACACAGACATACCTGAATAAGAATTAACATTCCAGAAAAATAGCATATTTTGTTTTTTTCTGCACTCATCCTTTCAGTAAGCAGCCTATGAAGTTACCAATTACATTACCAATACCCACATGTGCAGTAAAAAACCACCTTTGTACGTTTATAGCAAGTACTCTCTTCCCACCCAGCATTCAATTTAACTGAAAACTAGCTTCAGCATTTTGCATAGCAGCTCTCATTTCACACTTAAGTACTGTATGTAAAATTACACTAATTACTGTAAAACATCGTTGCTTCTTTAAATTCTATACCTCCAGGGAGAGGGCGTAAATGTGAACCTGCCTGTGAACAAGTCTACTGCATAGTCAATTCATGCTCACGAAAGTACTTGCCCATTAAACATATGCAGCATTCAAGTCAAAATTCGACTTCCACTGAAATTTGTGCATTTGTAAACCATTTTCAGACTGAATCATTAACTGACAAGGGGTTTTATTCCTTACACAAAGGCAAAAACAAATCACTGATGTGTAGTCAGAAATCCATTTGCATCAGATTGCCATTAGGCACTGTGTACAAATATTCATTCATTTTATTTGTACCTTTGCTTATACATACAACTCATTTAATTCTATAAATTGAATAAAAAGATGAAAGATTTGCTTGTAGATTTCCCACAATACAAGCAAGCAGGCAAATAAAACTGTTATTTTTTTCCAGAGGCTGGCACCTGTGACCATTAACAATAATGGAAAGCTTCACGAATTAAGGCTGTGAAAATTTTCACACATCAGAGCTCAAGGTAACCAAGCAGGATGATACATCAGAAGACTACAGCCCTGCTACAGAGTACTGGACAATCTTGGAGAAGCAAACCTCCATAAACAAGGCCAGCAGTGAGATCTGGTACAGAATTCATGCATGTTTACATTCAAATATCTGTCTCCAAAAACTGCAAGACTGGTTCCTAAAGAATCAGTTTGTTTAGCAGAATGGGCTATCACTTAGCCATTCTTGTCTTCTTTTTGAAGGCAATGATCACCAGGCAGAGGTGGCTCTATGGACTGAAAAGATGGATTAATACGGGTATTCAGGCCCTTCATCTTTAGCAGTCTGCCTTTCAGATACAAGAAGAATTGCTTGTAGCTCATCACATCTTCCCCTATCTCTCTGAATAGTTTACATACTAGTTTTAGTAGAACACTGAATCAGGCCGGTGTTGAGCTTCTGGTGTGATTTCAAAGATGTTGAACATGCATACTTCAGGTCTCATAAACAATGCATTTAGTCTTTACATCACGGCTATGTGAGCAGAATATTAATAACTCCTGCTAGTGGCTAAACTAAGATGTATAAAAGAGAGCAGGTTCTCTGTTAAAGACAAACTTCTTTAATCACGGCTAGATTAGCGAGATCACTGTTCCCTGTCTGCTAATTTCTTTCATAGGCTTAAAAAACAAAAAACTGCTGAAGAGACAGCAGCTCATTCTTTCAGCCTCTTAACCTGGAAAATGACAAAACCTGATTCAGATGAATTCAAAACTGAAAAAAACCTATCTTTTATAAGATAGCTTATATAGGTTTTAAATACAACTTGGCTTCATATGTGTATATGGATAACTTGCACAAATACACTTACATATTGTGTGATATTTAAGATGCTTCTCCCATTCTTGCATATTTTAAGATAAAAAAATCTAAAGGTGAAAGAGAAGTGAGAAAAAGCAGTCTGGGGAAGCCACAGGCCACTTACAGAAGCCCAAGAATGATCAGAATTCAGCTACATTTGAGATGCTCATAATGCAGTGCTCATCCAAGAATTATCAGAATTCGTCTACCTTTGAGATGCTCATAGCGCAGTACTCTTATGTGCCATTTTTCTAAGACTGCTCTAGAAACACTCCTGACAAATGCATTACACTCTCTCCATCTTCCATTCTGTTGCTTCATGCTTGCTTTTATTTTTCTGGTCCTCTACGCATGACTCTTAACAGCTTACAGAGTACTGGTCCTAAATGCTGTCCTGTACAAAACAGAATGAAGTGACGGCTCCACAAAGGAGTTTGATGCTTACTACTGTAAAAGCAGTCTGTTTCTTTTCTAAACAAAACAGTAGCTTTTCATATCTTTGTTATAAAGAGAAAAATACTGTTCCCATCGGAGTTTTCCTACTGGTCCATTCAGAAGCTCTACATGAAGAGCTGAAAGCGGACATATATCGAGGTCTTTTTGGCTTCCACGCTTCACATTTACAACATTTTCAACCAAGAGGTCACTCAATTTTCAAGCCCCCACGTTCTCATATTAACAAGAGATTTCACACCAGTCAATATCACGCAGGGGAGGAAAAGAAGAAAAAAATAAATTCAAACACTAGTGAAAATGGACAACATTAGAAAGCCAGACAAAGAGGAACCTTCATTTGCATCTAGGCAAAATATTGTTTCTCTCTGGGCAGCGCTGGAACAGTCTGTATGTTGTCCAGCTATCAATCTTACTTCCACAGCATTGTCCTCTTTATCTCGGTATTGCAGCAACCTATAAAAATGCTAACATTCCTAATTAATAATTCCTAATATTTAGAATACCTAATTCAGTGAAATGTACATGGCTATATAATTATGATATTAAAGGGTAAATTAGCACATAAGTGGGAAACACTGAACATTAAATACTTCATTTCTTACATGAGCTACTTCTCAAAATCCCTTGTTTCAGCACAGAGGCATCGATTTACAAACACTACTTAAGCTCAAGTCACTTTAAAACCAGATCTTGGGCTTCAGAATAAGAAACATATTTTGGGGAACATTATTCTTGATGCACAGATTAGGCAACTCTCCCCAAAAGATCTATAATTACATTTCAACTGTTAAGTCACTATGCCCTCAGAAATCACCAACTGTAACGTGCTGATTTTAAACCACCTATGCCAATGGCTTAAACCTGCTTAGAAACTAGTGAACTCAACAGTAGATCAAGGTCATGCTTCAAATAACATGCATTAGACAACTAAGACATAACACTTGTAGATTTCCAGCACTCTGAAATATGTAATATAAGAAACAAAGCTAAAAATTTGTTTCTGTATTTACCTGGAAACTAACTGGATACATATGGATTCCTAGTGCACACGTGATGTCTGTCCCAAGGGTCCTGGACTGTAGAACACCCACAGTTTGTCAAAAAAGTAACTCAGAATGCAAGATTTCACTATTGATCTTAAATTTGAAAGACAATTTCTTTAAGTATGAACAGTGGAAAACAGTGTGAAAACACTGTTTCAAAGAGTTTTCTATATGGAATGCTGAAGGTTTGGGATATAGGTGGAGACTGAATAGCAGAAGGCCACGAGAAAGAAGTCAAAAAGGGTGCTTCCTACCATACTTTCTAGGGATCAGACTTATTTAGGTGCTATGAAGATCAGTCTGGCACTTGGATTTCCTTATTAGAATTGTATGGCAGGTAACAAGCACAACTGTGCAATGGCATTCAGCCACCACACAAAAGGAAGACAACTGTCCACTGCTGAAAACCAATGGCTTCCAGACAATAACGGCTCATTCACACTCTGTGTCATACATTTCCTTTTGGCTATCATCTTTATTACATGGTTTCAAAATCAGTTATTTCACTCTTACGGTTTAAAAAAAAAAAAAAAGAAAAGAAAAACACACACACACACAATCAATAGTAACACTATGTCTTCAAGCTTGTGCCTACATCTTTATATATATACACTTAGCAGATTCCCCAGCCTGCATGCTCCTCACCTTCAGTACCACCTTTATTGCTTAGTCATGATCTTTAGTCATCTTCATGGACTAAAGCTATTTTACCTATCAGAATGATCTAGTTAGGTGGCCAGTAGAGAGTTTCTTCATTACTTTTGCCAGAGCAGCTACAATACTATTTTTCAGGAATAAAGAATATTTCTGCAAATTTGCAAGCTAATTACATAACAGAAACCTATCACTGTGCCCCAAACAGCTTAACTGTACTTTTTTAACCTTGACTTGAAACAGCATGAACAAGAAGGATGAGGAATTACATTTGAGTACCACGTAATCAGGATGGCCATCACATCTCCCATGTGTTCAAAAACGCTTCTGCAAGACAGACACATTTTTGGCAGAAAGATAATAGCAGCACTTTAAGAATACTTCTTCAAATGAAATAAAGTAGTGCATTTTTTTTCCTGAAAATAACTGTTTTGAAAAGAATATTCGTGCACCTTACCATCCACTCAGATATAATTACATCCACTTTTTCCAAAGGCAGATCTACTTCTTCAATTCTTCCTTTGACTAATGTAATGATATTTTCAAGTTTATTTAACCTGAAAGTCACAATTTAAACAAGTTAGTTGGTATTTCCATTCTATGCTGTCCAGAGAGATATATTAATGTTTACATTTTGCATCCCTCCCTCCCCAAATACTTCTTTTTTTTTTTTTTCTCCTTTTTCTTAAACTAATCTACACAGCACTAAAATACTTCTCTTCTCAGTTTTATTTCAGAGGGAACATTCCTGAGCTTCCAAAAACTGCAGCAGACTAACTGTCAGGCAAATGTGGCGGAGAGCAGATCTGTACATCTCTGATGTGCCACGCATGCAAATGTGTAGACCTCAGAGCCCAGGAAAATGGAGAGGAAGGCAACTTAAAATGACTTTCCTCTTTAAACAGAGTTGCTAGTTCCCAGTTCTCCTTCTTTGACCCTTGTAGAGTAAGTCTACAGTGATCAGAGCCTACACATCACACTAGGATAGCGATGGAAATTAGCTTCCTTACAAAGCTGTTTTGCACGATTTGTTTTTTTATTAAACAAAACCAGCTGCAAAGTCACTGAGAACAAATGTTCCCTCTAGATCAATATTACAGTTATTCCATAATAAAGGCACCTTCCCCATTGTACTTCTAGCCAAAGTCATCTGCAATGTTTAACAGCAGCAGTGATCAGGTATTACCTCTTACGCAAGTGGCAGTATAAACATCCTGTACAAGCAGCAAAATGCTATGATGTGACTACTGTTTTTGAAATAAAAACTACATGACAATGAAACTGCTAAGTGCTTGAAGGGTAGTATTTTTTCCCTTGCCAAATCATATCAATCTTTCTTGCATATACCATTATTACAATAGCTAGGCAGAATAAGTATTCCCACCGATGAGATTTATCTTTCCAGTGCAGCTCTTATCTCTGCCCCTTCTCTCCCACCCTGATATCTTACTCTTACAATCTGTCTGACTTCCAGGGCAGACCAGTAATCACATTAAAAATTCAATCTAAAAGACAATGGGAGAAAGATCGGAATGAAGGGAGGGAAAGGGAAGGTCAAAGGGCTACTTGAACATGTGGGCTATTGGAAAGAGCAATTAAATATTCTCTATATATGACAGTCTTCTGTTAAAGTGGCAACAATTTAGCACTAATATCATATTCAGTGCTGTAAACAGAAGTCTTTTTACTACTAGAAGCTCCAAATGAAAAATAAAACATTAAAGAGCTTTCACCCACACCAGTATTTTAAGAAAGACAAAAAGGATCTAAAGGTAACTTTCCAAATGACCAGGCAAAAGGACATAATCTAAAACAAAAGAGACAAAAGGGACCAACTCATTATATATTTATTTTCAATTGTAGGGCAATGTAACAGTATTTAGTTTATATATTTTCGAAAAACCTCAGAGATGTTATTTTGAAAGTATACTTCAAGTTTCTATTCTATTGTAACAGTGACAAATGACAAAAGTCAAGTCATTCATCACACTAGAAATTTTATGGGCAGCTATTCATATTAAGAAAATAAAAAGGCAAGCAGTTAGTTTAACAAGTTTACTGTGTAACCTTGGGGAAGAATCATGCCGCACAGGCCACTTATTCCAGTTTACTTACTCATACGTCAATTGCGCTGCTTCTAATAACTACTAAAGCACTTTAGAAACGAACCTGAATTCTGGGAGGATCAAAAGATCTTGAGCATATACGGTAATTATAGGTGGAGAGACACTACAAAAGTCATTTTTAAATAGCACACGTTCATTCAGTCTTCCAATAAACATTTGCTACTCTGTTACATGTTTGTCAGCTATATTCCTTCAGGAAAAGTAGATTTAACAGGACAAATATAAATTGTTTTCATGTAAATTGAATACTTCAGTGTGAATTGATCTTTTTATAGCGGAAGTTACCTATAAACACATAGCTTTAGTGATAGTTCACTGCGTATTTCAAGTGGTCATTCATCACTCTCAGAAGGTTAAAAGTTTTGATTTGTTTTTCTTAAAGGCGTCTCCCTTTCCTCACCAAGAGCAATACGTGAGTTAGCCGATACTTTTATCATTTTCTAAGTAACGTACACAAAGAACTTCACGTGCCCTTGTTAGAAGCGATGAATAATTTTAAATACGTCATGTAGTACAATAGTAATAAGATGCCATTTAAGACAATCCCAAATTCCTCAGTATCTACCCACCCTTTTTTTCCACAGTTACTCTGACAAAAACCCACCCACCTCAGTTACCAGCACTACCCATTTGCACCTGCATCTCTCTCCTGCTGTTCATGCTAGAAATTCTTCACCTTAAATGTTCAGATGTCATTGATCCATTTTTACATACAGTTCACCACAGTCTCCCATAACATCCTCTACAGCCAAATTAGTGAAATGGGGAGTGGATAAATGTACTATCAGATGGGTGGAAAGTGACTAGACCACCAGATTCAAAAACTTGTGATAAGCAGTAGGAAGTCTAACTGGCAGCCTTGGTACTAGAGGCATTCCTCAGGGGTCTACGCTAGGCCTAACTAGTTAACATCCACATCTACTAGCGATGTGGATGATGGGACAGAACGCACCCTCAGCAAGTTTGTGGTTAACGTCAAACTGGAGAAGAGCAGCTGATACAATGGAGAGCAGGGATGTTATTCAGAAGACTGTCAGACTGTAGAAATAGGCTGACAGGAACCTCAAAGTTCAACAAAGACAAATGTGAAGTTCTGCACCTGGGCTGGAATAATCCCACCAAACAGTACGGGCTGGGTGCTGGCTGACTAGAAAGCAGCTCTGCTTGCTAATCACTGCCCTCCCCACTGAGGGGCCTTCTGATAAAGTTGAACCTAAGTCAGCAGTGTACCCTTGCAGTGAAGACGGCCCACTGCTTGCTGGATCACACTTGCAAGAACGTAGCAGCAGGCCGAGGTAAGTGAACATTCCCCTCTATTTGAGGCTGGTGACACTGCACCATGGAGTCCAGAGTCCAGGTTGGGCTCCTTAGTACAAGACAGATATTGCCATACTGAAGCAAGTCCACTGAAGGACCTCCAAGATGCCTGGGGGCTGGAGCACATGATGTACAGGTAGGGTATAAGAGAACTGTGTTTGTTCAGTCTTACGAAGGGAAGGTTTTTGGGCAGTTCCCACCGATGTCTGCCTCTGCGTAGGGGGAGGGTGCAGAGAAAATAGGGCCAAGCTCTTCTCAGATTTACACACGGATAGCATGAGAGGCAATGGACACAATCTGCAACAGTGGAAGTTTCAATTAGGAAAAGAAAGGAAGAAAACCCTTCGGAGTGAGCATAGTCAAACGAGACGTTTTCCAGAGAAGTTCAGACAGAAGTGGCAATGTTCAGAAAGTGACTGGACAAGGCTTAAGCCATCTACCTGTTCTAGCTGAGCCTGCTCTGACAGAGGACTGGACCAAAAGCCCTCCAGGGGTCCTTTCACCCTATACTATTCTGTGATAGTTTACATCGTGTGCAGCATCTTAGTAATTCTCCTAGAAACAACTTTTCTCAGTTACTCTACAGAGAGTGTGTGTGCATGCATGCCTGCTTCTAAAATTGTTTTTTTTTTTAACTGTAGAAAAATATAACAGTGCAATGGCAATCACTTTCCAATAAGCATGAAAACTATCAAAGACAGTACATTTCTTTCTCTTATTAAAATAAAGAGCAAAATACAGAGGTAAAAAATAAGACATTTCACCTCCACAAAGAAAAATTCCTTTAAATATACTAGTGTACAGAAACCATGCTAGAAAATTGCTTTCCACAAGTTAAAACTAATACTATGTAATTATAAAATCTATTAGCCAAAGAAAGCTACATTTCATAAAACAAACAAATAATGCCAATATGAAGATCTACAAAAAAATCTAAAAAACTAAACAACTTTCACTGGATTCATCTTAATTAGAACTTTAAAAAAAACAAAGTCACATCATCTAGGAAAATATGTCTGCACTCTAATGTGTGCTGCCTAAAAATCTACAAGCTTTACTTCCACTTCAAAGTTCTACCAGCAGGAACATCTAAAAGTATAAGAACAGAAAAAGCACTGGCAGCGGTCAGTTTGAGCTTCTACACCACGGCAGCACTGGCCCCTACACTAGCGTCAAAAGGAAGGTCTGGGAAATGTTTTGCCCCAAGTAGAGCCCTGTTTAAATTACCTCCGTCAGAAGAGCATTCAAGATGACTGCTCAATAAAAATCTGTGTTAGTTCTTAGGACAAAGAAAGGTCACAGACTGTATCATTTCACATATCTTCAATAAAAGCAAGCGAGTGTTAACTGATCATTTACTAGTACCTTTAAAAAAAACTATTTAAAGCAATATTAATTTAGTATACTGTTTCAGAACTTTTCCCACCTAATGATGTCCATTGCCTGATAAACAATTTCAGACTGGTCAACTCCAATCACCTTCTTTGCACCTGCTTTTGCAGCAAACATGGAGAGTATTCCAGTTCCACAGCCAACATCCAAAACCACCTGAAATGAGTAAGACACATTTATTTTTACCTCAGTTTATTTCCCTCACTAGCATTTTCTACATGTCTTTTTCTACATCAGGGATATATTCTATTCCAACAGAAGAAATCAAAGGTAGCATCAAATCTTACAATGACATCCAGAAATAATCCAAGTCAAATTGCATATATAACTCCACATACTTTATTGCCTTTTACAGATAAATAAAAAGCAGACTAGCTCCTGCTGCAGATGAACTCATTCACATGAGAAAAATAATTGCTTGCAATTACTTGGTAACTAACAGTTACACGTATAGGAAAGACTGGAAATCAGAGCCTGAAGAATTTTAGTATCAGTGAATTGCTCAAGCTAACAACTAAATCCAAACAACAATTTGGGAGGAACTGTAGGTGGACAGGGCTGAGGAACATTTCTTCCTATTTATTGCTCATGAAAAAATTCTACACATTTTCATGTTCTTTGTAAAGAATTCAGGAATCCTCTGCTAAAAATTAGCACAGTGCCTCAAAACAACTATGGCTTAGATGATTAAATTTTGAAGTAGTGACTGGTATGGTTTTAACACTTGAAAATATTTTCTATCTAACACCTTTCAGAATCAAAACAGGACAAAAAAATCTAAGAAAAGTAAGCTTCATGAGCACACTTCATTTAAAGTACATTCAAGAAAACAGGACTCCTGCAGATGTTTGTCTCTCTTGCACTGGAGAGCCCAGAACTCGACCCAGCACTCCAGCTGTGGTCTCACCTGTGCTGAGTACATGGGAATCACCCTCCTTACACCTGCTGGCGATACTCTTCCTAACGCAGCCCAGGAGGCCGTTGGCCTTCTTTGCCACAATAGCACATTGCTGGCTCATGTCCACCAAAACCCCCAGGTCCTTTTCTGCAGAGCTGCTTTCCAGGTGGTCAGTCCCCATCCTGTACTGGGGCATGGGATTATTCCTCCCCAGGTACAGGACTCTGCATTTCCCTTTGATGAACTGCACAAGTTTCCTGTCTACCTGTTCTTCCAGCTTGTCAAGGTCCCTCTGAAAGGCAGCATAAACATCTGACATATAAATCACGCCTCCCAGTTTTCTACCATCTGCAAATCTGCTGAAGGTGTACTCTGCCTCATTGTCCAGGTCATTAATAGCCTTATGGTTGAACTTTCGCTCAATATATACTTAAGCTTTAGTATAGGTGCTTAAACATTTTAAGCATTAAACCCCAAAACTTTCCGTTTCCTCAGCAGTATGTACAAGCACTCATATTACGCAAAGCATTTAAAAATTAACACAATCCAAAGTATAATATTAGACTTCCTTTCTCATACAAGAGACCCAAACAAGATGGTAAGTATAAATTACTAGAAAGAGTCCTAAGATAAAAATAATCTATTAGAAGTAGCACTTAGATAAGACAGGTAATAACGTATGATAATTTCACTAGCTCCCCTTAGCACATCTTCCATCAGTGTTGTAAAATGGTCTTCAAAGCTGCCATGAAATGAATTTTTTTCCAGGACGACATCAGATCACTGTAGAATCAGTCCCGCAAAACACTGACAATTATAACTCAATTTGACAAGCTATCTCAAGGCAATAACATACCCAACTGACAAACTTTCTAGACTATGAGCTATTGAGCAGTCCTGCTTTGGCACAATAGGAACTTGTACACGCACTTTTAAGTTTCATCTGATATACAGTATCAATTTAAGTATTTGAATGCTCTGTACATTAGGTACACTTGTCTTGTGTTACATACAATTCTGCACATTTTGATGACGGATACAGTGCAAAGACACTCAAGCCAGCATGAATAAAAACAGTTTATCCTTAGCAGCACAGCAAGCTAGCTTGTGTTGTGCTGTACTGTACTGAGAAGCAACGAGTGAAGAGTTGACTGCCACCTGCCTTCATGGAGTAACTTACAATCTGGAATCAGACTTTAAAAAAAAGTTTAATGTTTTCTTTCAGCATCTTATGTGAAGGCCTGAACATGATAACAGAAGTTCCAGAAACCAGAGTTGCTCGTTCCACTTGAACTCTTCACAGCTACGTTCCAATAAGAATCAATTCTATGACCCGTTCACAATGAGTTTCTAGTATGTAGCAGCTACAGTCCCTAGGCTGAAGTTTTCTGGAGGCAAGAACAGAAAATAAAATCCAATGCTCCTGCAGCTGTTGAAATCTCATGCCCCCTCATGTCATCTCTTCTAACACTCTACCCATGGTGGTTAACAAAACTGCTGAGCTGTGAAAGCTGGAAGTCAGAGCCAAAAATAAACCTCTGTGAAAGAATGATCTTGATGTACAGTTGCATGAAAGAGAGCAATCACCACAAATGAGAAAAAAATCAAAACAGACACCACTTTGGACAGCTGCCCTGGTCACTTAAAAACCCAGATGGAACTCATCTAGCCTTAGGAAGGGGATGGGGGTGGCCAGAAAGGCAGAGGAGGGAATATACACAAGCTGGAACACATCTGAGAAACTGAAAGACAAGCAGAACAATCACCAATTAGCCTAAGGATAAAGGTCTACAGCTGATGCATTCTTGCAGTGATCACATATGGCCTCTCATCAGAGATCTGGAGCAGCTGGACTGATGATTTGACTACATCATAATATACAGTAGCATATCTTCCTCTTCTGCAGTCAAAGCAAAATTCATATTCTGCTTTTAGTCACAAAAGAAAATACTTCCATTTCAGGAAAGCAGGAGGTCAGGTAATCTGGCCAATTCAATCTATTCCACCAATGAACTGCTAATAGGAACATTTAAAAGTGCATTTTTCCCCTCAACATGGCACTGATGCCTGCCTCAGACTTCCACTTCACAACAAACACTAAAGCATGGCAATATTGCTTTTCTAACCAATTATTGTTTCCATCCAAAAAAAAAAAAAAAAGGGGGGATTTTTATTTTTTTTTTTTTTTTTTTTAACTTTTGCTGCAAATGGATCATGTATCTTTTTTCTGAGCAACACCCCTTTAACTGTTTCTGCTAGGTAATCTAATCTAAATTGTCCTACTTCCCCTCTCAAGTACCTTCAGCAGGTTGGTAACAAAAGCAGCAAGCAGGATTTGTTCAAGTTTTTATAACTTCTTTTGCAAGTTGAGAATTAAATTAAAAATAAGTTGGTTGGTCCTGAATAAAGCACACAGAACAAACCAACCTAGATACTCTATTGTCACTCAGTTTGAACAACTGCACTTCTTTGCGTGGATTTTCATTAAAAGCTAGTAAGATCTACTAAGCTCTTTCAAAAAAATCCCTCCCAACCTACTTACAGTTGTCCTTTCAGAAACAACAAGCATCACCATGTATTTTCTAAAGAGAAATATAATATGGGGTTCTAGGAACTCCCACAGGAAATACTACAGGCATCTAGGAAATATGATATTTGAATATTCCTCTTCTTCACATTTTAATCTTCTTTTACGATAAGCAAACTGTATTAAGGGAAATTAGTCTATTTTCTCAACTTTGGAAGTGTTACTTATGAATAAGATTCTGAAAGCATTACATTATATATAATTTAAGCAAAATACCTCAACAGTTCCTGTGACAGAAATTAACAGATTTCACTTGGAATTATATTTTAGAAAAAATTCAATATAGTCTCCGGAGGAGCAAACCAAGCTACATCAACATTTGGTCAGAGAAATGAAATGGGGCACTGTTCACCTGAATGCCAGCCGTTGGGAAGGCTAAGCAATTAAGAATATTTCTTTCCATTTGACCTCAATACATAGGGTTCAGATACATTGTGAATTTGAGGGAAGAGATGCCTTGGAAAAAAAAAAAAACCTGCAGTAGAAACACTGAGTTGAGAAACCAGTTGTATCTACTGCAATATTAATGGACAAGCTTTTCTTCAGAAGTGAAATGTTTTCACATGAAGCAAAAACACAGAGAAGGTACACGTACACAAGTTTTCTAGTCCACTCCTGAGCAACTGCATCTACAGGTGGGACTTCAGCAACTTTGTCTAGAAGAGCTCACCTGCACTTTGTTTTGAATGACTACCAAAATGTTCACATAACAGAGGAGAAATACAATCCACACTCCATGGTGAAAAATTACTGTTCTATTAGGAATAGTACATTCCATGTAACTTAAGGTCAGTCTTGCCCTGTGAAAACCTGCAATTATCAATTTTAGGGGCATCTGTGAAACTAACCTGCTGTCAAGACAGTTTAATTTATTTCTTCTTCCTCCCTTTTATGTACTTTGTTGGATGAGCCATCCAGCTATGAGATCATTCACATCTTTTCATAGCTGGCGGCATAAATGTTTCTACGACACTTTGGCTGGTTCTCTCTTTGTAACTAAAAGCTTGGCAATCTTTAGTAGGAATAGGCTTGTGACAAGGACTGAAGCAAAAGCTAAGAAAATTCCTTTCCTAATACTTTTTCACTTTGGTTGCCAGAAAAAAACAAACAAACAAACCTGAGATAGGACATATTGTGTGCTATCTACCTTGAAATAAACGTAAACCTCCTACTGCAAAACCCTATCTAGGAGAATTTCCAACTCAGGAACTATCAAATTTGTGCACCTTTATCACTTTTAAAACTGTTTTGAAGTCTTGTGTCATTAAAAAAAAAAATCAGCCACTACCAAAATAAAAAAGTGATTTATTTCTGTAAAACAAGAAATTCTGTTTTCACATTAGCAGTATCTATGCATGGCTGAAAAATGATAAGCAGCAGGCAGAGAAAAGCTATGGAAAAGAAAATCCAGAACAGAAGGCTGCACAGCATATCTCAGAACACAGCAAATTCATTAGAAATAACCAGTACAAATACAGAAGATAAGAGGAGGATCATAGCTGGGTACGGGCCATAACCACATCAGTATCATAAACAAAGACAGGACTAATCTCTCCTCATGATAAATGAAATACTAGTTCCTGATTTCAAGTTATTTAACAATAACCTAGTCTAGAGAGACTAAACAATATTAGTTCAGTAAATCAGCTGCAGTCAAATTCTTCCCCAATTCCAATTATATAGTGCTTTTGAGATGTTTTTACTATACTGGGCACAGATTGAAATTGACTTAAATCGTAGTAAAGTCTCTCTGAAATATATGCTGCTTAAAATACTGCACAAGAAAGGCTTGACTTAACCGTGCCATCGTAATTAATGAACATCCCGACAGAGCACACAGAACAACGACAACAGTGATCAGCACTTCTGTTATCAGCACTTTGCACCCTCCAGCAGTTGAATAGCACTCTACCACCTAATAAAGTCAGAGTACATTAAATCAAATTTTGCCAGTGTGATATTCCATTCCCCAAGCCACCAAGTAGCCAACATGAAGGATTTCTCCCACTTGAGAAAAAACAAACTGCAGAAACTACTATATTTTCTGAGCTGTTTTACCTACCTTGTCCTTGAAGAGATGTGGGTTTTGATATATGAAGTCACGATAGCTTTCTGTACGCACTTTATCCTATGAATTAAGTGATAAAAACAACGTTCACTTTATTTATGAACATGATAAAGTTCAAAAATGCTGAAAAACTTGCTTTTAACCTGACCCAAGTACATATTTTCTGGCTACTGTACTTACAAGGATTCTGTAACCATGACATTTTCCGTACTTTCAGTCTTTTAGAATTTATGATCTATATCTATGTAAATGAAGTCAGTTGAGCTTCTGGAGGCTTTAAAAAAAAAAAAAAAAAAAAAAAAAAACACCCTGCCTTAACACCATTCTGACCTGCAGTGTTGAATTTCACATGTTTTGAAGCTTTTAAACACCTCTCAGGAACAGCAGTAACACAGCGGCAATACTGCATCAGCTTTATACAACAGCCTTCTATACAAGAGTAAAACTCGAGTCATTAGCCCATAAAACATTTTGTATCATTTTATTCTATAATATTTAACTGCCTGACACATAGCTTCCTTCAAAAAAGCTAAAGATCAGATTAACCTGTTCTATTTCTGAATAAACTGCAAATTTGCAAACCTGCAAACAAGCTTGAAGCTGTATAGATCATTCTATGAAAACCAAATTAAAAGAAAAAAAAATTGACTTAACTATAACATAACATGACCTGAAAAGCTGGAACATATTCAAGCACATAACTAAACATTTATAGTGTCTTAGTATAGGAAAGCTAGCAGCGTATCTCAATCTACCAGGAAGGTAATAAACCGATCCTCTTAATATACATCAGCAGGTACATAAACTGACAGCCAACTATAGTTTCTGGAATCCCTGTTGCAGTTCAAGTGTTAGAGGAAAGCAAAAGAAAATTATAGTCGTTTTTACCGTAAAGATTGTCTACAAATAATACAAAAGTATAAAATCCAACTGCTTATATTTAAGTTAGCATCATATTACTATGGTAGGTGAGAATTTACAGAAATAATAATGTGTATTAAAGAAATACTTTCTCTAGTGAGGGAGAGCAAAGTCTATCTCATCAGAAAAAGAAGATCAAAACCAAAAACCTTGAACAAAAAGATATGCTCATACAAATCATGGAGACAAACCAAATTATTTTGAGGCGTTACAATCCTAAGATCAAAATTAAACGTAGGAGGATTATCTCTCACCAACCTGTAACAAAAAGTTACAAGTGATTTTAGAAAACTGCACTGTAGAAGTATGCATAATAAATGTGAAACAAAATGTCTTGGATCATTTAAAGCTATATTGGTTTACTATACAATATATTCAGAGCAACTATTTTTAGTACTTCACCTCTACCACAGTACATAATAGAATTTGCTGAAACTACCAAAAATTCAGAAGGTTCAGCATCAATCGAGAAAGCAGTCAGCTGGAAAGCTTTCAGCCTTACATCTTGCCCACTCACATTGCCTCAGCACTACCTCAACTTAATCAATAAAATTCCAACTGCTGTCTCTACTCTATGCACTACTGCTCAAGTAAGTCACAGTCATTCGCTTTAGGTCTCTCTATTCATCAATTCCCTTTTCTCATTCACCATTTCAATATAATGCTTTTTGTTTGTCTGCTTCTGGAACAAAAATGTGAGGAAATTTATTAAGATGATATTCAAGAAGTCCTCAAGCAAAAAAAAAACAGAAGTGAAACACTAGCCATTTGGCCAGTCTAAAGTAACAATATTCTCCCCACATTCGAAATATTTGTAGCAACAGAAACAGTAAGTTTAAACTTCAGCCTGCCAGTAACACGCATAAGAAAAAAAGGGTTTCTAAACAGAACAGTGTCAGAATAGACTTAAAATTCAGACAGCAAATCTCTTTTCTTAAAATCTTCAATGTAGCAAACCACTATATTTACATAAACACAGTTCTCATAGAAAAATTTAAGTGAACAATTGACACAGCTAAAAATTCAATGCACACATGGTAAAACAGATGTTTTCCTATATTTAGGCAAGAAGTCAAAAGTCTTCGTAAAGGGATCTGACAAGCATTTCCTGAAACCAACAAAATACAAATTTTTAACAATAATCTCTTTCTGCGGAGATTCAGAATTAAGAATTTTATTAGCAAACAGACAGGCTTCCCTTGTTCTGCAACTTACCACATCTGAACCAACCAGCAGCAAACAAAACAGCAGTCTCAACTGACTTGCAAAATCAGACTTCCATCATTTTTATTCAACTTCAAGATTTTAGACCTATCTCGCTAGATTGTATATTTTGGAAATACATATTCTTCCACCTCTGCAGAGATGTTTGTCCTTCTGAAAAATCATCCCATAAAATTTAGCTCCTGCTTAAACTACTCTTCAAATTTACCTTAACACAGACTTATATGTATTTCTTGGTTGGGGCCACTGAACAATTTACAAAGCAGCAGGTCATATATGCTACCTGTAGGGTCGAACTCATGTCAGAACTCCATATTCTATCCTTATATTATTTCAGAAGCAAAAAAAATTCCTGCCTAAAATAATAAAATTGCTTATGACATGCAGAACCGTAATATTTTCTCTAGGAGGAAGCATTAAGAAATTTTGATTTACAAGCCAGTTTTAAGATCATTTAAGTTAAAAGGGTATACAGAGGTTTGCTTTTAAAGAGTTTTAAACCTTTTTCTTTGTCATATAAAAAGAGCATATATTTTTTCCAGTTGCTCAATGTCATGTTATCCATATGCTAGGCTGTGCACAAATACCAACAATTTCTGTTTACCTTCCACAATAGGAAAATACAATATTTAAAGAAGTATTTTTGCCTGTCAAATTTTAACTCTTTGGAAAATAAAAACTAAAGGAAGTATATTCACCTCTGTACTATATTATAACATTTATCTTTTAAACATACTGAATTCAGCTGCTTTTAGCAGGGTAAGATTATGGTACAGATTTTGTAACATACCTTCAAATACATTTGCAGAGTACATGATTTAATGTTCCTAATGCTTCCTGTACAGGAAACATACTATATATGCTACAGGAAGCATTAGGAACAAAGGAAATACAAGCAGGGGAAAAAAAAAAAAAAAGATTTTTTCAGTTCAAATCCTAGGATAAAAGCTATCAAGTACAGAAAGGGTTAAAAATGCAGCTGCTCTGCAGTATATTTATGGGCACCCTGCCCATTTCATTCCATCTTTCCTCTTTAGTCCCACTAAGATGCAGTGGAGCTCACTTTCTAACCTTCAGCATCTCTTCATGTATCCCATAATGCCCATATGAGCTGAAGTAAACGCCATCCTCATCCTCATGAAGGTCTGCAATGCTGTTGAATGACGAGCTGCTTTTGACATCTGCATTCATCACAAAATCCTGTGCAAATTGCCTGTAATCAATTTGAAACATACCCTTGAGACATGTTTATGGGACCACAAAAAGAAGGCGGGGGTTGGGGGGGGGGGAAGGGGCTTGAAAAGATAAGGAATTCAGACTGCACAGGGGCTTTTATAACAATGGAACTGGTTTAGGCTTTAAACGTGCTGAATCTCCCTCTGCTGGCTTCCAGAAGCTGCTGCATGACAATTCACTGTTCTCAGTGAATCTGCATTTCTTTCTTATTTTAAATACTAAATACTATTAGCAAAATGTTTACTGTGATTATCTACATGTCACCCACAGTTCATCCCATTCAGATTTCATTTATACTTTTAAAATAGGAATTATCTATTTCGTACTTCCTAGTATAAAAGCCAGTATTATAGTGATCAAAATTTACAATGCAAAAACATATTTGATACCCTATGAAGTACATATGGACTTAACAGAATAACGCTTAAGAACTACAAACCATGCTTCATTGAACGAGCACTGGAAGGTTGAACAAGTTACTCTACAACCGAAGCAAACGGAGTGGGAACAAGTCAGAGCTTAAAACGCAAATTTTTGTTTTAATTTCACTTGTACTTGCTTCTACTTATTTTTTTCCCCTCAGGTATGGTCTCCCACTCCTAACATGTACATTTTCTTCTCATTTCTCAAAGTGTTTTTAATGACAAAATATACAAAGCCAGGGCTTTATCATGAAAACACTACAAATCAAAGATTGTTGAGAAATAAACAGCTCATATTATATCTGCAACCAAATGAGAAAAGCAAAAACACTTCAGACAGACAATATTCCTTCAAGGTCTACAGTCTGACTCACCAAAGCTTGTATCCTAGGCCGCTCCAAAGCGGCCAAAGTTCAACTTTAACATTCGTCATATTTTCTTACAGAAACTTAAACGTATAGTGAGACATTACCTGCAGCTTCTACCAGTAAATCTCTTACGGAACAACAAAATCAAAAATATTTTAATTCCAACATTTCAAATACTTCTGTGTTCAACTCATTTGGATGTGGGTGAGAAGGTGGAAAGAAAACTAGTACCAAAGAGATGACAGTATCAGGAACTTCATATACTTGCTGACATACTAGTAGGATCCAGATTATTTTTAATACTGTTTTTTATGAAGGCAATTTGTAGTTTTGTTACTTTTGATAATTATGAAAAATGATAAAAATAAAAATTTAGAAAGATTAAATTCTATGTCATACACTTAACATTTGTAAAACTAAATCTGATTTCAAATTATAAAATATTTTAAGTGGATTCAGCCAAGCACTCCTCCAACTTATGGAAACAACACAAGTACCAAACAGAACTCTAGAGCCAGAGACTCCCTCTTGACTTTTTAATAAAAAAATAAATAAACAAATAAAAGTCATCATCTCTAAACAGTATACAAATGAAAAAAAAATCAGGATACACAAGCTATATTCTTTAAAAAACATGAACTGCTAGAGGTGACCTGATTACAGAACTACTGTTACCATTTGTGGGAAAAAAAACCTGTCACTAGGACTCCATCTACCTGTCTTTGCACTGTAACACGTTCCAACTGTCATCATTCAACAAGCTTACTCAGCCTAGCAAATCTGGAAAAACAATTCCACAGTAAGTATTTCACACTGACTTAGCTGGTGTCCTCATACTATTCCCACCCTTAAAAAGCAACGGTCTCCAAGAAGCTGCATGACTGAAGTTCTGAACAGGCAGTCTTATTAAAACACCTGAAATATGTTTTTTCCCCACACCTTAGAGAGCAAGGTCTTCATGCTACTATCACAGACATCTGAAAGAAATTACAGTTGATTAGCCTCCCAAGAGGTCTAAATACAGGAAAGCTCCTGTTCTAGCTTTTTTATTCCAGATTTTGAGATTAGCCACCCAGCCTGCTAAATACTAGCATAAAACCTGAGAGCATAAACCTTCTATCATAGAGAACAATATAAAAGCAGGTTGTAGTAGGTTAAGGTTCTATGTACTATTCTCACTCCATGTCAGACTTGAAGAGTTCTTTCTTCCATGGAGTGGTGCACTAAATTGCATTTACCTCACAGGAAAATCTCCATGTGGACCCTTTCAATGCAGTAACCTACAGCATGTAGGCTACTCCATGCAATTACTTCCTCTGTCCCTAATTTAAGACTGTGTTGCTTCATCAGATGTACATCTGACTATTTTTGTTGACAGCCCGTCTTTGCTGGATTTAAGAGCTTGTGCTGACAACGAACAGTTAAAGGCTCCCTTTCACAGCACCTAGATAATTTGATAAATTAACCTCAAAAAGAAATATATGTAAGCTTGACAGAAGCTTAGAAAGCTGAGAAGAAATTGCAGCTGACAACCTGAAAATGTTTTCTTTTTTTCCTCTTAAATACAATGGGAACAAGAGTAAGACCAGCAACACATAGGGGAAAAAATAACAGGCTACCCAGCAGAGCTGCGAATTTCTCTCATTCTTATTGTTTGATGATGATGAATTAACGCATAAGGTAGACATAAAGGTATCAGACCAGTGTTGTATGCTGTAAAGTTGGACTTCCAAGAACTAAACCTAGCTTAAGACAAAACTGTCTGTTCTTGACATTTATCATTGCTCACAGCTGTCAGAATTTGCACAAACACATGACTGCAGAGTTTGGGATACCTACTAACTCACAACAGGTGTGTACTCTCAAAACATACAATGTACTCTCAGAATTTACAAAATAAGGTTTTTACAGCTTTATCTTTCAACAAAATAACACACAATTTATTTTTCCAAGTTTCATAAATACAATTTTTCAGTGTCTGATTGCTGGGGCTGTGATCAGGAAGTGACGTGTTTGGAAAGGATTTCGTACTGTGTGATCCCCCAAAAGGTTCAATTCCCCTTTCATGCATGAACATCATTAATCCTTATTTTAAAGACCTCAAGGTTTAGCAGTAGCACATACAGCTATTGGGATGTCTTATAATGTTCCTGCTTGTAATGCTCTGAATACTCTTACTAACAAAACCCACACTTGAGATTGAAAGTAACAGTAACTAAAAAGACAATGTATTAATTTTGTTGAGGGTTTCTCCAAACTGGAATTGGATTCTGCTACTAGCAACAAATTGAAAGAATAAAACTTGAGCACACCTTTCACATCTTTAGAGTCACCTCTCACAATGTTTAGAGTCCTGTATTTAATTTGCTGAGACCATTCTCTCTTCTCTATCGTGTCTCTTTAATATTTAAATCCAAATTTAAAGGACTAACGGAGAAGTGCTTGGAAAACAAGAAGAACACAGAAACAAAATATATGTTTCTGGATCACGTGCTTATTTAGCTTTCCTAAGCATGTTTTCATTCATGCAGTTTTTATAAGTTTACAAAGAACGTACAAGACAAATGAAAGCAACAGTTCCAACACAGGACATGGGTTTTACTCTTTAGTCAAATTCTACCACTTCTTTGAATTTCGACCTGTCTTTAAACATGAACACTTCATCTCAACTAAAATCTTTCAACTGAAATAGCTTCAAGCACTTACTTCATTTTTTGAAGATCATCCTGTGCTCTAACCAAGGCTGCTTCTGCAAGCTTAGCTCTGTATTCCGCATGTTTTAGTTTTTCAAGGAGCACTGTGGTATCATCTAACCCATTAGAACACGAAACACTTGCAGGTTCACAAAGATCTTCTATATCTGATGAAACAGAACAAAAATACCTGCCAGTTAACAGTGTTGCTCCACAGCAGCTCATAAATACATTACATTCCCATTTTTGCTGTTTCTGTCTTTAGACATCTTGCAACATAGTCCATTTTACAACAAACTACTGAATTTGACAGAACTAACTGCAGGACACAATACTACTCAGTAAAAAGCAAGTATGCTAGAAATGAGTTCAAAGTTAATAAAATGAATAAATCCAGAACTTAGTTTAAATAGCAGTCTTTGCAACAATTGGTGAGTGAGACATTAGGGTTAGCTTAACCTAAGTATGGTGCTATGTTCTGTTTCTCCAGTTATCTTATTCCAAGGTTGAAAAGGGTGTTAACTGTAAAATGCAAAAAGAAAAACGTCAAGCTTTCTTAATAATTAAACAGCAACTCTTGATTTTCAAACCAACTTCTTGGACTCTTACAAAGCTTTTGAACACACAAAATCTGAAAGAGCCTAAGTACAATGGAATCATGATGAAATACTGCTTTTAACTAGCAAAACTTGGACTCAGCACTGGGTACAGTTCATCTCTTGCCAAATTCAGTTGGTGATTTCAAACAGAGGCCAGTGAACAAGAAAAGCAGCACTACTGTGTTTTTGGATGAAGTAAGTAGCGACTTCTAGCTTGTTAAGTAAAAGGCTTAATTTAAATAAATAAACAAATACCAATATTCATTTTAATGATAGAAGACAGGCTATTTGGCCCACAGGAGTGAAATAAAGCACTGATGCTTAGAATATGATTTTCAGGGCATCCATAGTTGTTCTACGGTCGCCGAAAGCACTGAGCACCTCAAATGGTCTATAGCTTCGGCAAAGAAAACATATCACAGTGAAACGTGAAATCCCTGCAGTAGCCAAACAATAATGCAGCAGGGCTTGTTTAGAAAAGAATAAAATTGCATTCCAGGCTGCGCAGAGGAGAAAACTCCACTCCTAAACGTCTAATGGTTTACAAAAGGAAAGATGTACAAGCAAGCGCCAACTAGAAGGCAAGTGGGAGGATCATGGGCATCAAAAAATAAGTACAAAAGTCACACTGTATTCCCTCAAATCTTCAAACTCTTCTGATGAACTATCACAAGAGAAGCTCAAGTTCTTTATGGAGATCATTAGAATCACTAAAGAAACAGAATTCTTCCATGCAACTGCAGTAGAACATTATACTTGGTTTGTCCAAAAGACAACCTCTATAAAAGATGAAGATGTTTTCAACAAGATAAATTATTTACTACTGCCATAAGGCAGTAGTATTATTTTTGAATAAATGCATCTGACTTCAAATACGTACTTTTAGATGCTTTGAAAGTTTAAGCTAAAACAACTCAAGTTCAGAAGGAGTCCCGCTTTCACCTGCTTAAGTACCACATATAGTATCTCCACTATGAACATGCCATTTACATAAAGCAAACACAGATAATAAAATAGGACTACGGAAACATCAGCCATTAAAAGCTAATGTGTAAGTGTGTGGTAAGAACTTCAGAGTGACTTAATGTCATTACTTCAGCTAGTAGAGACTTTCTCTTGTCCCTAACACTATTTAAAAAAAAAAAAAAAGATAATGCATCATATAACATGAAATTTGCTGATGTCCCATAACACAGTGCAGTCACATTGAAACGTATTTATTTTACCAAACTGAAGTAGGAGATCATCATCTAGCTCTGGTTTCAAATATTCTTCTCCTTCCCAAGGCAGTGGGCTGCTGAGTGAATTCAAATATGCTGCAGTTGGTTTCTGGACAGAGAGATAAAGAGTATTTATGCTAAATTTCTTTAAAGTCACCAGCCCGTCATTTAAGAAAGGCAACACTCTTTTCCTCCAGCCACTAATGAGGCATTACTAAAGTACTTTTGTAGCAAAAGCTAAGAAAGGTATTATTCTGCATTGCATGACTAGCAAGAAAATGAAAAAAAAAAAAAAAAAAGAGCTTCTAGCTTCCATCCTAGCTCTGACAAGTATTCATATTATCATATTTATGCTAAAACCATGGCAAGAAGCTATAGGATCAAGAAGTTTAGTACAGGCAGTAAAGTGCAGCGGACTGGTAGAAAGTGAAGTCCATACTTCTAGGATCACACTCCTATCAGGAGTCAAGTCTACTCAGGTGTTTGATTGCATCAGACAGCTTATGACACAGATTGGCCAAGATCCTAACTGTGCAAAGCTTTTAAACAACAGCGCATTAGGGACCAGCTTTAGAAGTGCTGGCTTCTCTCCCATCTGAATCCTGACAGTTAATATTTCTTAGGAAGAGGAGAAGTCAGATTCTGGACCTCAGTTTTTCCACTTCTAGGATTACTTAGTTTAATTAGTTATACCTTAAATGGCTATTTGAAAATTTAAGTACTAAGTCTGGAAAAAAAAGTGTTTAATAGCGTAAGATGCTATTCAGTCTAAACCTAAATATCAAGGGAACAACAGAATATACTTCAGAACCACAGTATACACAAGATGCAGTTAAGCCTAACTTAAAACTGCAGGTTCCCATCGGATTTCCTGATTCCTGGAGATAAATTTTAGGTTCTGTCATCTAAGGGATCAGGTATCATCCTTTCTAACAATGCAGTTGGGTTTTGTCCAGCTTACACCCCCAGGGAAGATGCTTCTGTACCAGCACACATACAAGAGCTAAGAAACTTCAGCTATCAAGAAGTAAATCCATTGCTGGAGCCAGAGGGGCAAGTCAAAGGCCAAGATGAATTAACAAAACATGACATTAGATAATATGGGCTTTTTACCAGTCTGGAAATTTCTTTTTTGAAATCAATAAAGCCTTATGTTAATTAAATACATTTAAAAATAAAATGATTTAACAGTTAAAGTGCTCACATCTAAATAAATCAACCAATAACTACTTTAAATGAGTGTCCACAATTTCTTATTTTCAGAAGCGTAATACAGAATTTCATACAGTTATATTACAAAAAAAAAAATTTAAAGTACAGCATTTTGATTTCTCATCATGGAAGTAATACGTGGCACACCTACCTTCAATCTAACAAAGTTTATTAGTTTAATGTATCCATAAAAATCAAGTCCTGGAAAGAAATAAAAAAAAAAATGGCAGCTTATGTCACAAGAAACCCAGATGTTTTACAATAATGCAAACGTTAGTTAGTTGCTCAATTGGCCAGTTTCCCTTTGGGGCTTACATCACTATCTAGTGCAGCCTTCCCATCTTAATTTGTCATCCACATTTTTCTGATTTTTCTGTCTTTAGATCTAACCATGCCATTTTCACATTCAGTACAAATATACTTGCCACAAATTAAAAACTGTACACTTGCAAACTTAGCTTATTGGCAGCAATTTCCTCTGTTCACCACACAACTCTACATCAGGACAGCCACATTCGTTTACTAGCAACCTTAATGATTGCTCCCCTGCTGTGCTTCTTCATTCGTATTTTCAGCTTTCTGCTTATGAAAAAGTAAACTGATTCTACTCATCAAGAATACATAGCAATATTGATTTAAACCTGCCACCTAGCTCAGGAATAACTGTAGTTTAAATATAATTACGTACTTTCCTCAAGAAAAGCAACAAGCGCTCCAGTCTGTGGCGACCACATAGCCTTAAAATATTTTCCATTGAATTTTAGACAGGAAACAGACCAGACTTTACAAACTTGCATACATTTTTTAAATGCTCTGTGCACTTCCCATCCCCTCATCTCTCTCCCCTTTTTACTGCACACTCTTGAAATAGTATTTCTCCTATCCTGCTCTCTTTCCCCCACTTCTTCTATAGTTTTCCTCTATAGGCAGTAAGTTTAGGAGTTGAAGCTCAGTAGCTAACTCTCCCAAAGCCACTCTCACTTTACATGTCCTCCTATATGCAGCTTCCTTCAGTTACCACCTCGGCCTAAATATATGGTGGCTCCAAATGCAAGCCAACCTTAAATTTCACTAGGAATAAATCAAATGGATGCTGGAATATATGCCTTCCTATGCTCACCTGAGGTGAAATAAGCACATCCCCTTTAAAAACATCAGCAGTTCAGTCCAATTACTTGATCTCTTGGTAGATCAAGACTTTGGTCTCTGCTAAGCTGCTGAGCTCAGCACTGGTATCACTAGTTAGGCAAGAAAACCTGACACAAGTAAACAGCTTGACTTCACTTATGCCCGTGTCCTGTTACCCAAGTATGCACTAGACCAGCTCAGGTATATCTAGTAGGTAGCAGGGACTCAGCACAAGCCAGCAGAGATCACTCTTAGTTCTATCACTAGTGGAGAATTTTATCAGAGGATTTAATATACAAGAGATGGCTAGCATAAAGGTAAGCATTCTTCTAGAATATCTTGTCGTTTCAGTCTTGGACTCCTCAGCTACAACCAGAAAGCCAGTTAAAAACAAACTCATCTTTATCATTTATTTTAAAAAAGATGCCGATACACATGAGGAAAAGGTAAGAAGTCACAAAAAGAACTTACCGTTCTTACTGATCACATCAGCAACATTAAACTGATGCTCTACTCTACAGTGGGAGAATACATCTTCAGCAGAACTAAACAATCTGTAAAGAATTATTTAATAAGTAGTATTAACATGGTGGTATTTAGATTCTGTAACTTCCCTATGAGTTTCATATGCTCTGCTCTGACTTGCTACGTGAGGTGTTCACAGTACAACATTTTTCCTTTCAGAAAGGATGAAAAAGCGCCTGCATATTCATATACCTCCCAGAGAAGCCTTAATTTTATTACAAAATGTTTTGCAAACAACAGGTAATAAAGAAACACATCGATTTTGTTTCACAGTATGGGAACCTGTTAACTTCCAAAAATTCCTCTAAAGCAAAGACTAAGCCCCACACATAAGAATTGCATGTATAGGAGATTCGTTTGCCAGCAGTAGAATAAATGTTTTCTGCTATTTACTGATGATGGGAAAAGATGACAGAGATCAAAAGATAAACTTCCATATTGCTTCAAGGGGAAGGAGGAGGGAATTACTTGTTCTTCACATCATTTCTCCCTCCTTTAGTCTGGATTCAACAGATCTTCAGCTCTAAATCACAGAATCACAGAATGACTGAGGTTGGAAGGGACCTCTGGAGATCATCTAGTCTAACCCTCTCGCTCCAGCAGGGTCCTCTAGAGCACATTGCCCAGGATAGCATCCAGACGGGTTTTGAATATCTCCAGCGAAGGAGACTCCACTACCTCTCTGGGCAACCTGTTCCAGTGCTCAGTCACCCTCACAGGAAAGAACTTTTTCCTCATGTTCAGATCATACTTCCTGTGTTTCAGCTTGTGCCTGCTGCCTCACATCCTATCGCTGGGCACCTCTGAGAAGAGTCTGGCCCCGTCCTCTTGACACCTTCCCTTCAGAGACTTATAGACATTGATCAGATCTCCTCCCTCAACCTTCTCTTCTCCAGGCTGACCAAGCCCAGCTCTCTCAGCCTTTCCTCACAGAACAGATGCTCCAGTCCCTTAATCATCTTAGTAGCCCTTCACTGGACTCTCTCCAAGAGCAGCATGTCTTTCTTGTACTGGGGAGCCCAGAATTGGACACAGCACTCCAGATGCGGCCCGGCCTCCCAGGGTGTGAGGAGGGGGGCGGCCCCCCTGCCTCGACCTGCTGGCAACACTCTGCCTAATACAGCCCAGGAGACCCTTGGCCACAAGGGCACGTTGCTGGCCCATGGTCAGCTTGCTGTCCACCAGGACCCCAAGTCCTTCTCCACAGTGCTACTTTCCAGACTGCAAAAGCTACGCAACACTGCTTCAAGCTACCTACCAGCGGTGTTTCTAACTTGCCTATCTTCTACAGGCTGAATCTGAGCATTTATATGGGAAACACTCTTTGGATTAAGAGTCCATCGGGCCTCCTGCCGCCATCCTCACCTGTCGCAGAAAAGGCAGCGAGTCTGCAAGCCCTCTGCGGCCCCCTCCTCCTCCTCTTCCTCCTCCTCCCAGGCTTCGTCGCCGTCGGACAGCTCGGGCATCTCCTCCTCCGGAGGCGGCCCGCCGGCCCCCGCGGGG